CAATCTGCGAAGTCTTGATTTAACTTAACCACAAATTTACCCCAACAAAACATCTTAAAACTACAAATTGGACATTGACTTGCATCTCTGACTTTCCTGCAAGGTCACGTCTTTGGGTAAACGCTCGTCAGCTAATCTCAATAAAGCCGTAAGTCTTCTGCTTAGTCTGTTTCTGTCATGAAGGCACTTGGAGGAAATATGTGTAGGCTCTCATCCAATTTCCAAATCAAAGAAAAAGCTGCGAGAGAGAAGCGAGACCTTTTCAAGAAAAATAACCCAAACTGGTTCCCTCCATTTGCTTAGTTATAAAGCGTCCTCTTATAAGTACGTTGCTCTTGATATTACATAAGTGCATAATGTCGAAAATACACGGTGACACGCACAATACACTGAAGGCACTCAGGCTTCTTATATATATGGGCTCCACTCAAGTATGAATTACCTTTTCTCTTTTGCTCTTCAGGCCATGTCTGTTTTATTATTTATTTGATAAAGCACAAAGTATACTGCATCTATAAATACACTGCAGGGCTTGTAGGAATGGACCGCAATGGGGGAAAGATTGTGCAGCAGCCACGCACACACTGGTGTTATCACGCTACTGTCATTGATTCAGCGACTATTGAATGGGTTACAGTAGACTGATAAGCTTGGGTAGGTATGGAAAGTTGCAGATCACACAGATGGTCGATGCGAAGAAAATTGCTTTTGAAAAGGCAACCTGAAAAATAAAAATAAATATATTTTTTGCTCTCTGTCCAGGAAATTTACCCCAAGGACAAAGTTTTGGAGGTAAACAAGCAAACATGGAGCTGTAGGAAGTTGTAGTATAGGAAGGATGACACTTGTAGAAAGGATACCAATACAATACTCCCAAGATGTGGAGGAGGTTAGAGGCAGAAGCCAGTTAAAACATTTTAATTCGAAACAGGGACTTTAATATTAAACAGTAAAATACTGACGGTAAGTCAGCGAAGGCAGCGTAAGCTTTACAGTAACAAACACATTGTCACGTAAATCTCAAGTTCTCACAAGATGTTTAATATTTATGACACAAAAATTATTAATGTCTTAACTGTGTGAAGTGTCTATTTTCACCCGGTGGAAAATAGTCACACTGCAGCTATTCGGCTATTTACACCCATCCCTATGACACATTTGTATGGATCCCCTGCACATGCGATGCCATGTGATTGGCTTGTACCAGTTAAGCTGATGCGTAGAGCTTGGTAGTGGTTAAGATTAGGGCAAAGAGGTCATGGTTAGGGCGAGGGCTGGGTACCGAAAGTCTGTGCTTATATGGAACTGGTACCTATACAACCGATACCTACCGGACCGAAACAAAACACACATTACGGTGCCTCCTTTCTGTGTTTTGTTTTTTTTAATGCTATGTCTCCCTCTATTGGACATTACACATAACAGAATCATTCAGTCATTCATTTGTTCATCTGTTGAGTGCATAATATTATTTAAAGGCACGCTAAGGACCTTTGGGCGTCACTTCTGTTTACGTTCAACAATGTTATCAAACACAACCGAGCTAGCTCGCCCCCCCCCCCCCCCCCCCCCCCCCCCCCCCCCCCCCCCCCCCCCCCCCCCCCCCCCCCCCCCCGCCCCCCCCCCCCCCCCCCCCCCCCCCCCCCCCCGTCCTCCGTGACTCTGTCACATGAACGAGCGATAGCTGCTAGTTAACCTGGACACACCCGTCAAGGCATAGTGCACCCAACATGAAAATTCACCCATTATCTACTCACCCATATGCCAAGAGAGGCTCAGGTGAAGTTTTAGAGTCCTCGCAACACTTGCAGAGATCCCAGGGGAGAGGGGGTAGCAACACAACTCAACCTAATGGAGGCTTACGGTTCCCCAGATTCAAACGTTCATGTGTGCACGCTTGCGCGAGACCGTGAGACATGGGCACCGCGTTCATGTGTGTGTGTGTGCATGCTTTCGCTGGTCTCACGCTCGCTGGTTGGTACAGCCTGGACCCAAATGTTTTTGTTGCCATTTGCGGAGCCTGGCCTGCCTACAGAGACCAGACTTTAATAGAGTTAATATTATTGTAATGTTAAGTGTTGTTAAATGTTAATTTGTTAAGTGTAAAATTGTTAATAGAGTTCATATACCTATTTATTTCTAGGTATTTCTAATTTGCCTCAGCAATAAATAAAAACATTGTTTTTATAATAATTTAAAACTGTTACACAAAATACTCACACACTTTTCAACCTCCATAAAAAACCTCATATTTTGAGGTATCGGTTCAGGCACCGTTTAAGCACCGGTACTGTTTTAAAAGTATCGGTTCGACACCGGTATCGGAAAAAACCCAAATGATACCCAACCCTAGTTAGGGCTAGTACAAGCCAATCCTGGATATTCTCTGAGATTAAAGTGGTACATTTACAAGCAAAAACCTCAAAAATGAACAACCAAAAAGTCAGGTGATGTAGTCTAAAGAGCGACACAGTCCATGCAAGATGTAAGATTGATTAGGTGAAGCATGGGACTTTAATATGGGAGACTGGCGTTTAAGTCTCGTGTGAGACCTTGGCCTTTAATTTTTAGACTAAATTGACTTGTTATCTTCGGTTTTTAGGATGTACAAAGCTGCTGAATGCGCTCTGTGTACATAAACTTTGGCAAGAATAGCTGAATAGATTTGTTGGCACCTGAACCTAACAAATGTTACAGTGAAATCTAATGAAACTGCTCCCGATGCCAGCGGACATTTAATGGGCTGATAACGGCATTCTTAACCTACTACTTGGTGTAGTGGAACACTAGTATTCTCAAAAATATCAATTTATCTATACATATCAATTCTGAATATTTGAAAAGGTTTCAATACTCATTATCTGCAGTATTAATACTTAAAGTTTTAAGCCCTAAACAGGGCTCAGCGGGATGTTCAGTGTGACACCAGCATTCATATTATATAGTAAACAAGCTAACGGCGCTAACGATAGATCAGAAATGTGCAATAACATTTTTGCTGACACTAAACATCAAACAAAAGCTAGAGACTGTCTCACATTAAGTATCTGTGATTAGAAATTAACCACTCAAAAGCAGAAGAAAGAAGATGATGTTATCTCGCAGCCTTATGGTGGAAAGTTTCTCCTCCTCTAAGCGTGAGAGTCAAGAGCGCACACTTCGCAGCAAAATCAGGGGACCAAAATGTCCCCAGAAATACACTGTCAAAATGACAGTGTATTTCTGGGGACATTTTGGTCCCTGTGGTATTACAATGCTATTGAATATTGATATTTTTTAAGGTATTGTATCATAGTTTTTTGAGGCTGATAGCCAGTTACAATATTCATAAGAGTGCCACATTTTAAAATGTTCACCACAACCTGCTGCAAAAAAATGTTGCTTTGCTAAATTTGTCTGCCAAAAAAATCCGCCCAAACCAGTTTTGTTTAGGCTGATCTGACACTTTAAATACATCATATAATAGATTTGGTGTAGCCGGACCTGTTCCTGTTAAAGAAACACCTGGGTGCAAGCAGCATCTGCCTTTATGAAATTACACCTAACAAACAGTCACACACATATGCAGTCTTCATTTTTATGAACTAATCCACACTTTAAAAACATTAAACACTAGAAAATGTTCAGTGTCTTTTGCTTAACGAAATCCAGAATGTCTTTTTATCTAATATTTAGTGAAGTCTAAATTGACAAGACGACTCAAGAAGGCTAATTGATGTGATGTGTAATGCTACCCCACAGCTTGCTTGGACCATCAATCGAGTGGAGGGGAATCAGCATGATTGAAATGAAAAATGATGATGTTGTTGTAAACAGTGTAGCTTTCTAAATATTCAACATAGCTTACATAAGTTAACTGATGGTTTGCAGGGTCTGACATCATACTGTGAGTCTGTAAACAAATGTATGTTAACAGGAAAACTGGGGCTCGCTTTCACTGTTGCACCAAACTTGATGTTTTCACTCTTACAACACAGATGGTCCCATTTATTTAGTGGACTATGACACACATATTATCAGTTATTTATTGATTTTATTTACATGTTTTTCATCTCTTGTCCTCCCTCCATCCTTCCTCTCTAGCAGAGTACAACAAATAAATTAGGAGCATTGTATTTAATTATCAACCCATTTTTCAATTTTTTGCTTTGGATTCAGGATTACATGAATGCATTGTGATTTTCTCTTGTTTTCTTATGCACTTTCCTTCCTATATCACATTTTAAAAGGTCCTTCCAGATCAACAAATGTCAGCAAGGACCTCACTATTTTCTTGAGTGGGGTTCAGGTGATTAAGGGTTTGAGTGTTTTTCTAAATGAACCCAAAAGTAATAGTTCACAACAAATATATAAGATACAATAGTATTACAGTAATCTGACCTTTTCAATATTAAACTCAGCACTTTTAATAATTTGGTTAACTTATAATCACTGTAAGTCATAATTTCCTGACGGCACATGATACGATACTGACAGCACATCTATTTTTATGGCTTCATCGCTCATCACAATCATTTACGACTGTCAGATATAATTTGATCAAGCCTAATGAGTCTGATTATCCTTGGACTTTGATCACAACGGGTCAAATTGTCCTTTCCGGGGCACATTCACTCGCCCTCAGTTACAAAACAGGCCATTTTTGTTTTGTTTATTATTCATTTTTACACAACAGATTTGGGCCTAACAAAAAGACAGTTTCAGAGATGTGAAGACCTCAGTGTAGATTACAGTGCGAAGTAGTGAGTAATAGTTTTCTGTGCATAGTGTAGCATTTAACACTTGTGTATGTAGGCGGGTCGCACATACACCAGTTGTTTTTCCCTGCTATTGCCATGAGGTTTCAAACTTCACCAGATCTGTAGTTTTTCCTTTATGCTTTCTGTGTTCTCTTTGCCTTGCTGAATTTTCTTGATTTGACTTTCTCCTTCCTTTGCTTTCCTTTTTAATGTTTTTTTTCTGTTTGCTGCTTTCTTTCTTTCTTTCCTTCTTTCTTCCAGTATGTGGCATTTGGCTCCCTATTCTTCATCCTCATCTCCATCTCCACTTTCTGCATGGAGACACATGAGGCCTTCAACACCATCCTCAACAAGACAGAGAATGTCACGGTTGGCAACTCGACCCGTGAGGAGATCGTATACGAGGTGGTGACTGACAGCTGGTTGACGTACGTCGAGGGCGTGTGCGTCATCTGGTTCACCATTGAGGTCCTGCTGCGAGTCACCTTCTGCCCAGACAAGCTTGAGTTCTTCAAGAGCAGCCTCAACATTATCGACTTTGTCGCCATCCTGCCCTTCTACCTGGAGGTGGGCCTGAGCGGTCTGTCCTCCAAAGCTGCCAAGGATGTCCTGGGGTTCCTCCGTGTTGTCCGATTCGTCCGTATCCTCCGAATCTTCAAGCTGACCCGCCACTTTGTGGGTCTCCGTGTCCTGGGCCACACCCTGCGTGCCAGCACCAATGAATTCCTCCTGCTCATCATCTTCTTAGCCCTTGGTGTCCTCATCTTTGCCACCATGATCTACTATGCCGAACGAATTGGCGCAGACCCAGACGACCCGACAGCCAGCGCCCACACCAACTTCAAGAACATTCCCATTGGATTTTGGTGGGCTGTCGTGACCATGACCACACTGGGCTATGGAGATATGTACCCAGAAACATGGTCAGGGATGCTGGTGGGTGCTCTGTGTGCCTTGGCTGGTGTGCTGACCATTGCCATGCCTGTGCCCGTCATTGTCAACAACTTCGGCATGTACTACTCTCTGGCCATGGCCAAACAAAAGCTGCCCAAAAAGAAGAACAAACATATCCCCCGAGCACCACAACCAGGGTCCCCCAACTACTGCAAGCCAGATGCCCTGGCTATGGCTACCGCATCACCACAAAGGCTCTTGGGAAACGTCCTAGGTGGAGTGATGGGGTCTGGAGGCATTGGGGGTGACTGTCCTCTTGCCCAAGAAGAAATTATAGAGATTAATAGAGGTAAGATTTATTTTTTCATGTTAAAGATCCAGTGTGTGAGATTTAGGGGGATTTACCACTGAGGCTTGCAGATTGCAACCAGCTGAAACTTCTCACGGTTCAGTGTTCATTGTTCAGGAGGGTTTTTAAAAGGAGCCGAATTATCGCCAGAGGTCTCATCCTCCCCAAACAAACAGACCCGGTGATTTAAACCAGTAAAAACACTGAATAAAGCAACTTTTTTTTCAACACTGCCCACTGCGAAGTGGCTTCCAACTACAGTGGCCAAAGCGAGAATGCAACAAAGCAAAAAAGCTACAATGCAAAAATGGAAGAACCAGTATTTGGTTTGTCTTTCAAACATGACGAACTCTGCAGACTCCGCAGAGGAGGTCTTGCTCCCTATGTAGATATAGACGGCTCATTCTAAGGTCATGAACACCCTACAGTTCTTAATTTTAAGTGAACAAATATTCCTCTAAATCCTGCCCACTGGGCCTTTAAGTCCCTTCATTTTAAGAAAAAACATCTTCAGCAGCAAATACCTGACCAGCATGCTTCAGGGGAAGTATAACAGTTTACTAATGGCAGTTTTAGGCGTACATAGTGATGACTTCAGAGGTCCAGTAGAGGAATAGAGTGCCAAAGAAAGAAGTGAGAGTACTATCAAGAAGTGATGCATAGTTGATTCTGGATCCACCCCGGAGATCTCACTGGCCCATCAGAACTCATGTGTAATTTATGATCAACTGGTAGGTCCACAGTTGCCTTAAGGCACCCATCTGTCAGTGAAGAACAAACACTGTGGAAGGAAAATGAACTCAATTATCTATTAAAACAGCTTAATGCGTCTCAATTTGGGCTGACTGCACATATTTTCTCTCCGGCATTAGCAGTAAAAGAGGGGAGGTAATTTGCCCCTTTTTGTTTTCCCTTTACATGCTGCAGCATCAGACACCAGCCACATGCAACAATAATGCACCTTTTAATGCATTACTTTACTGCCTTAGTCATCAGCCAGCCTGAAAATATTGGTTTCATCAGTGCTTTTACTCCATCTCGTCTGCTTGGCTTCCCTCCAGACTAAAAAGGTTTCTTGTAGGTTGAGTCGGTAGATTTTTTTTTTTTTAATCGGGCAGTTGTATCACTGGCTCAAAGACAGCTCTGCAGTATCATCGCCACATGATGGTAAAATATTTTATCATAACGCGTCAGTGAACATGTGGGTGACCACTACAGCTGTCACTTCCAATCAGTAATGAATGTTATTCACCACTCAACATGTTTGATGGTTTACCAAGGTTCAGGCCTGCTGTATTCATACAGGGACTGGTTACTCTGTTGGACAATTGTCTTGTCTTTTAAAAATTTTAAATAATGCCAACATACCAGAGCCTGAAGTAATAAGACATTTTTTCATGTGATTAAAGGGACAACTCACCCCAGCATCAACCATACATATTTTTCCTGTTACCTGTTATCAGTCTAGGTTGGTAAGATTTGGTGTGAGTTGCAGAGTGTTGGAGATATCGCCGTAGAGATGTCTGCCTTCTCTTGGATATAATGCAACTATGACACTCAGCTTGTGGTGTTCAAAGCGCCAAAAACATTAATTTGAAAAACTCAACAGCAATGCCTCTTTCCAGAAATCATGACCCGGTTACTCAAGATAATCCACAGAGCTTGTTGTGAGCAGTTTCATGTAGGAACTATTTTCTGCCAACCGATCACCACACAGAAGGAAGTGTGCTAGATTAGTGGTACTAGCACGATTCCTTCTGTGTGGTGATGTGTTTGGCTGGTGTAGTTCAGTAGAAAGAAAATAGTGCCATCCAGTTCCATGATATCCGAGAGAAGGCGGACATCTCTACGGCCAATATCTCCAACACTCAGCAACTCACAACAAAACAATCTAAGAAAATAAAAAGCTCTGTTTTTGATTTAGGGGCAGACTGTCCCTTTAACAGCAAAGAACATCCAAAATTGTAGTTATGTGAAATAGAAACGGACAAACAAATGTGTACATTTAGGAGGCTGTAATGCTGCAGCAAAGTTTGGGTAGGTTTCTCTAATACATTACCCAAAAACTTTGTCACTGTTGTTGTTGATTACATGTATTTTCTTGCAGTTTATCCACAATATAACTTAACACAACACCAGATGCTCCTCTTGACGGTTTTCTCATAATCCTCCTCTGTGGTTTTCCTCCACCTTCCCTCCAGATTCTAAGCAGAACGGCGACGCGGCCTCGGCCGCCCTGGCTAACGAGGACTGTCCCACCATCGACCAGGTGCTGAGCCCTGACGAGAGGAGCCCTATTGGGCGAGGGCCTACCCGGGAACGCTACCAGCAGGACCGCGCCTGCTTCCTGCTCAACACCAGGGAATTCCGTGCCACAGATGGGAATGTGCGGAAAGGTACGTTTCACACCGGGAGACGGACACGAAAACATGCACATCTTATGTAAACAAATCCACACAGCAAGACACCAGGCACAACATATTACAAACATATATAGCATATACGTCCAGTGTGCAGCTGATACAGATATCTACACACAGGTTACTGTATGTAGAAGATCCAAACATTTAGGAAAGATGGGTTGGATGGAAGAGCACACTTGAACTTTGGATGCCTCAACTACAGATAGAAGGCTCCAATCACAGCTAGCATCGAAACATACACACACATACACAGTGAGGCAATTACAACACATGCATACACACTTCTGCTCTGCTTCTACTGTTTCCACCTCTTCACACTCATGTTGTCTGTGTTTCCATCACCGCTTGGTATCATATTTTATTTCTTCTGTCAGACAAGATTTTCTGTCCCCTCTACTTCTCTCCTTTTTTCTTTCTCTTCTCCGCAGTCACGCCTTCCATCTTTCCATGGTGTCTGTGAATTTTGTTCTGTGTCCCATGATGTCACATTCATCCATGCTCATAAACGATCTCAGTCTTTCTCTGTCTTCTGGACTCAGACAGTTGACCATGCATTAATTTACTTCTCGTCACTTCTGTTTCTCCCTCTCTGTTTCTCTCTCTCTCTCTCCTGCCTTGCATCATCCTGTTTTTTTTCCCCTTGCCCCCCCCTCCTTTACCTTTTGTGATGACTTTCCCTCCCTAACCTGCCGCACATTTCCCCTCCTGACCCCCTTCCTCCTCTGCCCCATCTTAAAACCCATGCCCTCATTTCCCTCCCTTCTTTTCCTTTGTGCTACACCATAACCCCGCCCCCTCCTCCCCCACTACCCCCCCTCCCCTTTTTTTTAAACCCCGTGTGCATTATCTTTGTGCTCATGAAAACCTAACACCTTGATTCATTTACTACTGCAATTCAACCACCACCACTGCCGCCAACCTGCACCAAAACACTCCCTCACACTCCCTCCAAACTTTCAACACCCCCCTTGTTGACAACAAACTAGAGGCAGCAGCCCTGGCACCCAGCCCAGACTCCCCTCTGACTGAGGATTGGTATAAGATGGAAGGGTCTCTGTTACAGCAGGACCTCAATGCAAACTCCACCTCCTCCTGGATCAAACCATAGACCAGAGGTAACACTGAAAACAGGTTAAAAAATAAAATAAAGGAGCCCGTAGCTTAGTCAACTTTTGACTGAGAACATACTGAAATTTTGATCTGGCTCTCCATCACGTAGCATGTTTTTTTTTTTTGTTTTTTTGTTTGCAGTTACACTGAACCAGTACAGCACACACTTTAACACAAAGAGCTGCACACACTATGCATGACTTCAAACCACAGATACACCACCATTTTCACAGTGTTGTGTCTACATGTTCAGTTGAGTCTGAATTGTCACCCTCTCTGTGACTGAAAGTGTGCTGTCAGTTTTAACAGCTGAGCTAACTGCTTCAATCTGAATATTAAGGTTTGGGTGGCATTTTAGGGCTCATTGTCTGATTTCTGACCTCAGCCCACTATCCTACCTGCAAACAAATTTTGTGCACAAGGTGTAAAAAGAAAAAGAAAATGGGATTGCTCTGTGATATACACACACAATGAGAAGTGTGCGCAAAAATGTGTATACTTGTGTGTGTCGCATACGTTCGTGAGTGCAAGAGCGCGTCCATGTGGGGCGCGCACGTGTGCAAATACATCCGGCAGCTCAAGTGAAAAGTTGTCCGGTGTCAGTAACTAATAAAACATAACACTGAAGAAGATTGAACTGGGAACAGCGGGTCACGTTGTTGTCTGATGTGCCTCTGTGTTGTTGTTGTCTCTCTCTTCAGGTTGTGTCATATCACGCGTGTGTATGTGGGCTTTTTCATTCTTACATGTTATACACTGTGTCTCTGTCCTCTCAATGCCGTCTGAGTGTCGTGTTTGTGTTGTCGTGTGTGGCTTAATTTTGTTTTTTCCCTTTCTACTGTGTTTATTCCGTGTTACTCCCTACCCCACGGGCCTCCACCTTGGCAAACAAAAGCACTCACTGCAATTTAGAACAGATTTGCCTTGAAAAATACACCCTTTTTTACAGTTCTATATCTATATATGTACATGTACTCATGCACAGGTTAAACTTACATACTCTTCAGGCAATGGCACCTGTTCCTTTTATACTAGAATACTTTTCAGGCTCAAAAATGTGCATACTTACATGTACATATACTGTATTTGATGTCAAATCAATTGTCCAGCCTTGATATCTTCACACAGTTGAGTGCAGTGTTGTTAGACAAACATCTTTCCGAGGCCCAAAGGTCACTGGGGTCAGCGGAGCTATCTAGGTCAAGGGATAGTACCTCTTGAAACATGCCACGCTGAAAACAAGCAAACATTTAAAACTGTTTATACAATGTCTTATTTCAGCTTTGTAAACAAAGCCAGTCATCACAATACTTCTTCGCAAAAAATACCGTGCTGTGAGCGTGTAATGGATCTGAAATACTATTCCCTCGACCATGTATCTGTGCTTTCAGTGCCTAGTGTAGTCCAAAGTTCAGGACCTTTTGTATTTGTACTGTGGAGACCTGGATAGAAATCAAAAGGATTATGAGCTGCACTCGGTGACTGAAACACTTACTGACCAGACAGACAGAAAGACAGACAAAACGCTATGACAGATTTGATTGAAAAGCGGCTACATGCTGTCTAAGGTAAGCAAGCCTTCGAGCTGTCCAAGCCCTTCACTTACAAGTCCCTGACATTGCTTCAGTTTCAGTGGTTCTCATGTATAAACTGCAATCTAAATGCTGCCAAAATCCCTCTTTAAAGCAAATCAGGAGTGAAGGAAATAAGTGCTCAAGTCATCAGGACAAAGCGTCAGGTTGTGGGATGTTGTACTCTGTAATTCATACATTTAGGCTGGGATCATGTTGAGCTTTGTGCACTGGAGAAAGAGATTGTAGTTGGTGCTTACCATTAATACCAAAAAAAAAAAAAAAAATCAACTGTTGAATGCCATCTCTGGAACCCAGTTATCTAGCATTTGAGAAGGAGGTCATGTGTGTATAGCCCAGACACACCGAACAGACATCAAAGAACCAGCAGTGACAAAGGCGTACTGTTGAGTTGCCTCATGTAGCCTATGTCTCGGCCAAAAAGTTGCACCTGAACACGCCACACAGACTACAGCCAACTAGCACATTCATCCTGTGCCTGAGTGAGAGGAAATAACTCTCCATACTGGCAAGTGGCGGTTACTGTATTTGTAATTAAAAAAAGGGAAACCGGAAGACCAACAGGACGAATTCAAGACGCTGGTTAGCCAGTTGGCACATAAACAGTACAACCAGATGTTGAAGAACAAATTATATTTACTGTCCAGGTACGACGTGAAAGGTACCCTGGGTGCGTTGGTTGTTGATGTACTACGATGCCGTGTCAAGTTCTGCCTGTTACATGCATAGTCTTCTTTCAAAATACACTTCCGTTTTCACAGGAAATTTACAGTTTACACAAGTCCCTTTCAAAATAAATGCACTACAATGGTACAACAATGTGAATTGATGTTTTTTTCCTCGAACAACTAACGCACTTGGTTGGGTTTAGGCAACAAAAGCACGTGGTTAGGTTTAGGAAAAATCCACCACAACTCCCACTCACCCTACTCGGACTTTCACCACCTTAACTTTCCTTCTCGTCCCACCGCGTTTCCCCCTGATGCTGCAAAGCACCGTCAAACTATAACGGTGACCAACCACGTTTTATGCTGACATTAAAGGATGGCTTTTTCTGTCAGTGTCTGACGCCGCAAGTCACTGCCCAAGTACCGGATTTAGACGACTTCAGAGTGAGACCAGGTTGGCCAATCAGAGTGATGTTATCAACCAACGGGATGTGCTGTCATTGATGCTGATTTAACATGCTGAATCAGCCAAAAAAAACTGACAGGGGCTGACTGTTGCCAACAGTGTTGGACACACCGCCAATACAAGGGCGCAGATGCTCACCGATGGCGTGACATTGACCAAGAGCCGACTGTTGGCTTGGTGTGTCAGGGCTTGTAGACATAAAAGCTACCTCTCACCCAGTGTGTAAATGAAGCATTGGCTACATATAAAAAATTTAAACTTACATGACCTTACATGCTTAAAAAATGTGTGATTTAGGGAAAGACAAACAGTGAATATTTAGAAACTGAGCTATCTGTTCTCCACTGATACCAAACGTTCTCCTTCCTGTTTTTAAAGAGGGATTCTCAAGCTTTCTAAAACTCATTCTTGTGTGCTTCAGTTGTGATTTATTTCGTAGATACACGCATAAGATGTCTTTTTCCAACTTCTTTTTATCAGCCTTTCAGTTTCTTCTCTTTGATTGTTGGCCATTTGACTTCCTATGCACCCGATGCAATATGCATGTCTCACTAAGGTCAAACGGTCAATCACCCCTTTGATTGCCCGCTCCCAATCACTCCTCTAGACCTTCTTCAAGGATCTCGTTTGTTTCTCTCTGTGTCTCTCTCTCTCTCTGTATCTCTCCTTCTCCACGCTCTCTCCTTTCACTTCCTCACTGTGTGTACAAATTTGTCTTTTATTTCTTGGGTTTTTGCGCTTATTTATATGTTTCTAACATGTTTTGTACATCTTTCATTCTGTATTTTTGTGGAGTATCGTGAAGTGACTTTGTGTGGTAGTGCTGTTTTTTGAATGCTTTTCAGTGTGCGTAGGATTAAGTTGTATTTTATGTTGAATACTATATTTTGTTGTTGTGGTTATAGTTGTTTTTTTTTGTTTTATCAATGTCTTTGATTTTTGTACAGCTGTGTTTTGTTGTTTGATGTTTTGACTTCCCCTATGTTCTTCCTGTGTTCTCCTTTGAGTTTTACCATCACCAACTATCTGTCTTCTATGAATTGGAATGACAAAGGAAATTGCCAACAAAACAGTGACATTGATTCACAGAAAAATGGCACAAATCTCACTGGTTCAGGACATTTTCAAGGACCAAAAAAGCTTATTGTTAATTACCAATTTAAACTATGAAAACTGTTAATGGATTATTGACCCAAGAATAGTGATTATATTATTTATTGAACAACTTCACCACTTGTAAACCGATACTATGTTGAGGTTTAAACAAATCTAAATAATAAATCTAGTTTAAAATACAGGTAAAGCGATTAATCGATCATGTCAGCTATTAAATTGATCGTTAACTAATCTGATAATCAATTAATCAGTCTGAGTCTGATTCCAGCTTCTTTAGTGTGAATATTTTCTGGTTTCTTTAGTTCTCTATAACAGTAAACTGATTTTTCTTTTGGTTGTGGACATCATTTTTGGCTTTGGGAAACACTTATCACCTTTCTCACCATTTTTAAAAATTTTATAGACCAAACAACTAATCAATTAATTAAGAAAATGATCAACAACATTGATTAATCAACAATGAAAATACACATTAGTTGCAGCCCTAGTTATAAACAAGCTGTTATATTTAGCAGGGTGCATTCGCTCTCCATCTACATTTCATTCCACCCTTATGTACCCAATTGCTTACCTTTCTTATGATATTGATTAAGATAGACTGATGGTGGAATTACCTTTCAAGACCAAAGGTTTTATAATATTTGCCTGTGCTCACGCAAAATTATTCATCACAGCCAATTTCTGGCGTACAGTTCTTATAGGTGGCTCAGTCCATGATACAACTAAATAAAATATACTAACCCTAACTTGCCAGCTCCTTATGTGTGAAACCGTGTCAGTGTCCTCCTGTATGTCATCGTACTCAGTACCTAAAACCACACTGTCTTGCATGTTCTAACGTGTGTAACAATACCACTGTGTCTCTTACGATGTTGCCTCATCACAACAGTCTGCAAATATTCTTTCGTCCAAGCCAGATCTGTATCTCGCAGAAGAAAAACAAAAGATGAATATATATGTATATGTATGAGATGCATACATATCTAAAATATTAAAAGGATTGAGCTTCAACAGCTGATGCATATGGCCTAAATACATGTAACAAGAGGAAGCAGGATACAGTTGCATGTCATCTAGTTTTCCCAAAAGACACCCTGTATGTACTGTATGGACACATTGTGGCTTCAGTAACTGCCGTGAAGCGATCAATACATCTAATAAAGGGTAACAGGAGATCACACCATCTTTAACAGGCGATTGATCCCATGTAAGGATGATACAGTTACAGTATACGGCCATGCCGAGAATAGCATCTGAAGAGTCAGCAAATCCTGTGTCCTCCAGAGCAAGCACACGCATAAAATTATAGGACATATGTGAATTATGTAATGGAGGCGTCAAGTAGCTCTCTGCCTTCTACTGTATGTACATACACACAAGAATGATTAAGGATATTATTTTTTTCCAATCTGTTTAGTTTTACACGAGCATTTCATTTGTAAACAGTCTGGTCAGAATATTTGCAGTTCTTCCTCTCTCTCTGTGTTCCTCTGTGTCCTCCCTGTCCATTACCTTCTCCCTCTGTGATTAACACTCATTCTCCATCCCATCCCCAGGCCGCCACTGCAGTGCAAGTGTAACTAAAGTCTGACTGTAGGTAGGTACGTACTTCCTCCGTAGTGTAAATTAAGTGTGACTTTGGGCAGAAAATTATGTCATCACCGAACGCAGTGACAGCCAGACTCACTATTTCCCCTGATGGACGATCCCAGAGCACCAAACCCCTGTTGATGTTGTAAATACAGTACTTAGCACAGTGAGGAGGAGGCCAGCAGAGCGTGACAGACTGCAGTGGCTGAGACATGATTAACTTTATCAGCATTTTTATTGTCATTTGTGAAAACAATCCTTGTCTTGAATTTTTACCAAGCAGCACTTTGACTGCCCCGTCTACATTATTCTTCATCAGTTTCACCTTCATCTTAACAAAAGATTGGAACTCTTTTTTTCTCTTGTCCATATTTTACTCATATCACACGTGATGAGTGTTTCAAATCCTCCAATTTCAGACTTTAAAAAAGGCAAAAAATAGAAAATTAGGATAGAATTAAATACTGCAAAGATGACCACCCATACATTTAGTAGTGTAGTCTTAGCATGGTTGGTAATCAATTTGTATATGAAATATAGTGATCTTAGTGTTTTTATCACGTGAGCAGCGTGTATTATTCCCTTTATTGTTTCTCTCTCCACACTGCGTGCTGATTTTGCTCAAAGATTAGATCCAAATCACTTTCTCAGAATCAAAACCTTTTGTTGTAACTTCCTATTCAGGCTTCCCAACTTTTTGTGAATTCCCATAAAGCATACGTAAAATCTGTAGAGCACTCGTCATTGTTAATCAGAGGTAGCACCCAAATTAAGTTTAATAATTGCATTATATTTAAGCTAATACAACTCATAGCATAATATTAGCAGAATAAAAAACTCTCATATGAACTGTTGGGACATGATTATAACAGGTACATTAATATTCAAGTAAATACTACTAATTTACCATTACATTATAAAGTTGTTATGTTTTTATGCCCTATATTTATTTTTATACTCTATGAAAAATAACTTTTTTAATGGCAGAAACAAGGCGTTAGACTATATGTGAAACAGCAGCAGTCAGTTTGCATTAGCAGGAACTTAAAGGTATACTATGCAGGAATTGTTGATTGCTATTTATAAAACCTACATTCATGCTTGGCCCCTCCTCCCTACGCCGTTTGTTTGTACGCTGCAAGCTACTGCACTACTGTAGAAATGGTACATTTTTTGTAATAGAAAAACTGATACTGATTTTTCCTTACCCGCTGTGAGGGTCCAGGGACAGAGGGATGTCGAATGCTGTAAAGCCCTCTGAGGCAAATTGTGATTTGTGATATTGAGCTTTATAAATAAAACCCAATTGAACTGAAATTAAACTGAATATTTTAACAAGCTAACTAAGCTAACCGCCAGCATCGACCTATCTAACAGAAAACATGCCAACTCTGCGTTTTTCTTCATCCCCTGCCTCTAATTCAGTGCAATTTTGCACCTGGTCATGAGCTTTTATAAAGTTATAAACAACCCAAACACAGCAAAATAAGAATAAATAAGAAAATACAGGCAAATGGCAGGGTCTCTGAAGAAAATTACATCCTCATACACAGGGTGTCTACAGGTCCTTAAAAAGTCTTAAATTTAATTTTCTAAATATTAGGCCTTAAAAGTCATTAAATAGTCTTAAATTTGAATTTATGATGTCTTAGTTGCCATAAACATTTTTTCTAATTTTCTTTATCCATCTTTGAATTTCTTTTTTTATTAAAATATTTTCTGCTTGAAAGTCCAAATTTCTAATGTCACAAATGTTTAAAATTATCATTTAACCTAATGATAAGTCTTTTTACTTTATACTCGCACTTACCTGTTGGCAAAATGCACTCTAGTAGCCATATTCCAACATAAAATCTCCCTCTGCACAGGACAACATACATACTAATTACCTTCATACTTACCTGCAGTGTCTGAATTAGAAAAAGATGATTTGTCTAAAACTCAGTCTTAAATTTGGTTGAAAAAGGTCTTAAAAAGCATTACATTTAAGTGTCTAAAACCTGTAGACACCCTGATACACTAATGCGTCGTAAATGATGACTGAAAAGTATTAGTTTTGTTTGAGTCTATACATTGTTTTTTTGTTGTTTTTTTTACATAAAATCCTGCATTGTATGCCTTTAATGTAGCTCTGACATGGTGTCAGAGAGCGAACAGTGAACTACAAGGCTGATATAGGCTAAATCAAATAAAATTAAGATGAATTTCATGCATACATTGTTTCCTGTGAGTCCCTCATGAAGACAATGTAAATCCAGCACAGGTGTGGCGGAGTACGCCACTAACAATCAAAACTACAATATATAGAAAGGGAATTACAGAAAGCATGTGTTACATTAGGTGGCTATTGAAGAAAAATGCAGACCATAAATATCAAAAATAGGTATTGATTTCATGAAAACGTAAAGGCTTATAGCTTTAATCAGCTCTTCAGTTAGGTCAGGTGAACAGTTTATCAGATAATGTGTATAAGATTTACAATATCCACCTCTTCCTTTAAGAGATTTTTGTCTGCATTCACCAGCACACATTGCTGTAGTACTGCTATAAAAACAGTTTTTTATTTCCTGTCCCTCCTGTTGTTGCCCCTCAACTCTGATTCAGCATAAAAAAAATGGCTGCCGTGTGATGCAAGCTGACAATTTGTCTCAATACATTAAGGTGGCATGAACAAAATATTTTCTGAACTAAACTTGAGATTGAAGCAGCACCACGATTGTCCAGACAGCTTCTCAGACATCCTTGTGGGACATGCAGCCTAAGAAACCCAGTGAAAATGCATCATCAATATTTTACCGAGTTGCCATCCGACTAATGTGCCTGAGCTAGTCAGAATAAAAAAAGGACTATTATTTATGGTCGGCTCAAATGATGCGTAGTCTAGAGTGGTGGAGCAGTGGCCGCTGTGCACCACAATATATTTTTCCATTTCAGCAGGAAGGCACTAAGGGCGTCATACTGTACCAATGGGTGTTCTTTGTTGTCTGACTGTGGCCTTGTGATGGTTGGAGTTTGACAAAAATATACACACTAACTTGGTAATTTTGTCACAAACTCAACTAAACTTCAGCTAATGTTAACATATTCTTAATGCAACTGTTAAACTCCACCCATTATGGGCCAGTTAGCCATTGTTAGGGAAGATTAACTGCTACCTACCAATGGTGTGTTTCACTTCACTTGATGCAACAACACTCCGTCAGCACAGCACTACCTTCTCTGTGGCTGCTTCCTACAGGGGGAATTCAACATCTGCATGCTGTGTTACACAACAAAAATACAGCGGGAAAGGACACAAAGGCCAACGTGTTACTTTGTAGATAAATTGTTTTTGGTAAATGTACGTTAAGCAGTGTAAGCACAATGTGTTACACTTTAAAGTCACTTGCACAAGTAGCCAAGTGGGCCGTGTGTCATTTCCCACTGTAAACAAAATGTGAACTGATCTTCATTACAGGATGCTTTTAACAGGGGATAGGAGGTGTTTTTAAATGTTGCAGGGCAGGACAGGTTTTGTGTTGGCCATTTGAAGTTTGCAGGAACCAAAAGCAAATACTAAGCTGGCTGTTTGTGAAGTGTAATGCAAGACTATCAATTATTCTACATAATATTTACATAGTACTTCTCAGCTTTTCAACTTAATCGCCAGAAAAAATGCGTGCAAACCATGGATACGCTACATTTGTACATTATTTCGTAGAGGATATGTTGAAACTTAACATTTCTCAACAATGTTGTGGTGGTAACATCAAAGCACAAAAACTGTTAGGGTAAGTTTGAAAATGTTTGCTGGGACAAAAACCGCTGGAAAGGCAGGGATTAAAACACAAACGCTGCTGGGAATTACGTTTTGCGTGGTGTAAAACACTGAGATTTGGTGCCACAAATGCCGCTAGAAAACACTGCAAAGTGTGGGCAAAAAACACAAAGGTACGGTGCCATAAACACCACCATTTGCCGCTTAAACATCTCAGGTATGGTGCCACAAACAGCGCTGGGAAATACCGCTCTGTGTTGGTAAAAACACCCAGGCTGGTGCCACAAACATTACGACATGTTGCTAAAAAACACTCAGGTTTGGGGCCACAAACGCAGCTGGGAATCATGTGATGAGAGATTCAGTGCCATGAATGCCACTAGAAAACACTGCAAAGTGTGGGTAAAAAACACCCAGGTTCGGTGCCATAAACACGGCGAATTGTTGCTAAAACGTCCCAGGTAATGTGCCACAAACACTGTGATAAGTTGGTCAAAAAACACCCAGGTCTGATGCCACAAACATTGCTGGGAAACGCTGCGATGTGTTCATAAAAAACACCCAGGCTGGTGCCACAACTACTGTGATATATTGGTAAAAAACACTCAGGTTTGGGGCCACAAACAGTGCTGGGAAATGCCGCAAATTGTTGGTAAAAAAACACCCAGGCTGGTGCCACAACTACTGCGATATGTTGGTAAAAAAAACCCCACTTAAGTTCAGGGCCACAAATGCTGCTGAGAAATGTTGCAATGTGTTCATAAATAACACCCAAGTTCAGTGCCACAGAAAATGGGGGAAACCCTGTGAGGAGTAGAAACATCGATATGATACAAATATGATGTGCAAATGTAACATATTCGTTGTTTGCAGACATGTATAATGCGGCCATTTTCCTCTGGCGACAGGGCTGAGCTTTCCCACGTAAAACTTCATGTGGTCAACTCCTAAACTGTATCAGTGATATTTGAGTATTTACTCCTTGTGTTGTTGTTAAACTGTATAGTCGTGGCCAAACGGTTGTCTAAAACACCTGAACGTTGCACATTACATTTCACGTGATAAAATGTTGGGTGCTTTATTCAATGGGCCTATTATAGGTGTTAAATCTCTTAATATCAAAGTATCCTTTGCTTTTCTGTTTTGAAAAAAAAAAAAGACATATCATAACTCGCATTTTCTTGTTTTGTCTTGTCTTGTCTGTCTTGTCTGTGTCTGTCCTCGTCTGTCCTTTATATGTCTTTATGATTTGATAACATTTTCTTATGCTCCACTTATGTGCCTCTTTTTCAATTTTGATTTCCTCTTGTAACATCTTAAATCTCATGCTCATGTTTCAATACTATGTGACCTTCATAACAAACCACCTGAATATGGAAATTTGTCATAACATGCCCAAACATTTCAACTATGATTTCTTTTTATTTTATTTGCATATGATATCAAAACAATAACGTATAATGTAATACTTTAAATCGATCAATGGTTAAAATTATTTCCTTAAAGCAACGGGCTACGAGAAATCTCGCAGTCTCAATAACATATCGGGAATGGCTGGGTCATCACTTAGGCTTGCTCCTATCACTAGCCCACCCTTTGAAACCTATGAGGCCCCAGGACCACTGCGCCGCTGTCGCTCCCCCATCCCCTCCATTTTGTAGCAAAAAAAAAAAAAAAAAAAAAGAAAAAAAAGAAAGGGATGTTCATGATCGGATGATAAGAGTTGCAGTGGATTAGCCATGGACTGATCACATTGAATCCTCCATTTGGACTGTACACCGTGCAAAAACAATAGCAATAACATGAAATGAACTTGAATGTAGAAAGAACGACCCCTTGTCTTGTGAATCTAATGGTTTATGATGCATGCGTCCAGTTAGCTGATGGGGTTAAATACAAATCCTAGCTTTAAAGGGTCACTGTTATTTTAAATTACTAGAAGAAATGTAAAAAAAAAAAAAATGAATTGATTAGTTCATAAAATAGTATCAGAGATTTAAAAGAATTATGAATTTGAATACATGTGCACAGTTACATTTTGAAATTTAGGATTAAGTGTGTAGATGGACATCCATTTTTAAATGTTCTGGACCAAACAAAAAGCTCACAACACTGTCCGGAGTAATCACCATGAGACAAGATACTTCAGTTCATTTAGCCAAAGACAAAAATACATTTATAGATTAGATTGATGTTGAAAAAGGTTTCTACTTTCTGTCTTCTGTGAATATTGATGTATGTACAGTGTAGACATCATTTTGGTAAATCTCTCGAAAAGACAGACTCGGCTTCTATAAGTCTCAGTATTAACACTTAATTTTCTATCTCATCATAGTGACATCAATAGACACCTTAGCTTACACAGCAAAGCTAAAAGATGTGAAAAGCTGAGGAAAAAAAACTAAAGAGCTTAGCTAAAATGAAAAGAATACAAGTATCATATCATAAGAGCTATCTCAGTTTTGCAGCCTAACATGACTTTTAAAATGTTAGTTTATTTTAAGACATTGCTGTTGGAATCCCATGTATGCAACTGCTACCTTCCAGTGTAAAGTTAAAGGTCTATTCAGTCACTCTTTTTTGCAATTGCAAGCATGTTGTCTAATACATTTCTATATATTTATCATCATCTTATGCATCATATGCAATTAGAACAATCATTTCCCAAAATTAAAAATCAATTAATAACATAAAAATAATAATTTCATTGTATGCCCCCAACAATACATGAAAAAATTACTAAAATGTTTAAATACTTTTGTTTCAATGCCATGTAGGCTGTAGACACCACATCCTGGAGGGACCACTACAAATTGTAAGACGAGGGTCGTGAGATCGATGGATGTAGCCAAACTAGCACTTGCTTGTTACATGCTACTGACCTTAGCTAATCACAATAGCTGTGGGTTTGACAAAATTGTTAATAGATTTTTAAATTTTTGTTCATTCAGGTTAAGCGCATTTCTAGGAAAATTCTGTCCTTGGTTTTAAACATTATTAGTGCAGCCGAGGACCTCACGAGTCGAGCTGCGTGGCTAGCTACGTGCTAACTATGTTTTGTCTCCCACACTGCCTTTGGCAAACGGCACAATTAAGCTATCACATCCTCAGTTAATAAATTCTATTTGATGACTGAGTGGACCTTTGAAGAAAAGCTAATCAGGACACTAATGTATATGAATTATGTATTTATATGTAGGCCTACAATTTTTCGAAAAAGTCTAAATGCAATGTTTTTAGGAAGCTACTTAAAAATGACAATAAATAATGCAACAAATATGCTTATAAAATCAGGTATGGATGACTACATAATTATATAGTTAGAACAAATACAAGCACTTTACTAACACAGTGTTAATTTACTAACCTTGAAAGCTTGCATGTTGGGATACAGACCATATTACAACGAACTGAACATGTGACTGAGCACCATTAAACATCTCTAACTGTTCAGTTTTTTTTCCAAATATCTATTTTGCTTCTTCTTCTCCTTTTTTTAAAATATATATTTTTTTTCCCCATAATCATTTGATTTTGGTTTAAGTGTTTGTCTAAAACAGTTTTAAAAAATACAAATTTAAATGACGCAATCCGTTAATCTGTGAAAAATAAAAATAGGACAGTGGTTACCTATATACCACTTCCCTCAGTAATTTAAAATAAAAAATATCTTTTAGGGAATTTACAGCTTATATTTTTGCCACTGAGGTCCTTCCTCAGATTGACACCCTCACATGAAAATTGATCTTATATGAAACATTGAGCAAAAAGAAGATAGTAATAAAACATTCACATATGCAATAAACATGCAATATTATTTTAATGCTGGAAAACATGCTGTGCACATACATATGTAAATATGCAGATCTATTTTTAATCCTGAAGATGCACAGATTTTGTAGGCAGTCAACTTATTATGTTTGATTTAGTGTTACGATGACATCATGAGCCATTTGTCTTGTTTTATTTCAAGTCAATGTCTTAGTGGTCCTTGAAACTTTTTAATGTTGTGGCTGCCATTTTTTAAATTGTTTTAGTTTTGTAATGGTTTTATATTTTCTTTTCACTTGTACTGGTAATGTGTATTTCATTGTTAGGAATGAATTTTCTCTACCACTGATTGTCTAAAAAAAACATTTGTTAAAAAGAAGATACAATGTTGTATTTAATTGTCCTTAAGTTCTTTAACAAACAGAAACATAGCAAGACTGAAATCACGAGGAAAAACTGTAAGTGCTTTAGAAACCAACAATTTTTTGCAGGTGTAAAGGGAGAGTGTATTTACTTGTTTAGAGAGTCAGGTCCTGATATTCTTACTGTCATAATCCATGGTTGCCATTTTGTCAACAAAAAAAAAAATCGATGTGCTTCCAGACCCCTCAAGTTTGAGAACTTAGATATGCAGAACTGTGTTTCAGGATGAAAGCTATGACATCACTTGAATGTTTGCTTGAATCTATTGTTGACTGGAGTTTGAGAGGTTTGTAAAATGTGTAGTGTCTCATTTAAAGTAGATCCTACCCTAAAGTCACTGCAAGAAGTAATGCTTGCCTGGCTTCATCTGATACGGGTTTTTGAACGCCATTGCACATATTTTCAGACTGAAGTTGCTAATAGTAATGTTTAAACTCAATATTGTTACATTTCACCATTATGATGTCAAAAAATTAGAATAATTTAGTGTTGTCTGAAAATATCTGAGTGGCATGCAGAGCTTTGGTTTAACAGCAGCTCCTTAATGGATAATGTCAACCTCAACTTAGGGAAGGTAGGGAAACTCTGGGATAGTAGGTTTTTAAATAGATTTAACTTGCAGGAAAATGATTTGTGAACATGTAATGAGTACAATAAAACATGTTCACTGGCCTGGGTTTAATTGTCAAAGCTAATCTTAGTCCACATCGGCAAACCTGAATATTGGTCTGCAATTTTTTTGCTAGCATCACTTCTCTCAGTGCACAAAATCTTCTATTTAAGCGCACATGCATACTGTATAATCTTCAAATGACTCCACAATGTGGACGTTACAATTTGCAGATACTCTGAATTACAGCAGTATGCCACTTCAGTTGGAATGTACATTTTCTGTTACAGTGAAGAAAATGTCCATCCATCTTATATATCTGCAGAGGAATGTTTTTTTTTTTTTTTTTCAAGCTCTAAGTGACTGGATATGGGTGAGAGGAATAACATCTCACTCAACACCACTTTAATTTTAACATTTATGATTGTATAAGTTCTGTATTTGTTCATATTTGCTTTGTATTTTAACAAAATTGATCTGAGGAATGTCATAAGTGTGGTTCTGTTAGGCTTAAAGAGTCATTTCACATAGTTGTGGCCAATGCAAATCACCTACGACACTCTGACGTACACATTGTTTAAGAAAACAAAACAGGCAGATGTTGTAAGTGCCTCTATGAGGCCCCCATAGGCTCTGATGTCAATTTAGGAGTTCATGCAAACTAGCTAGATTTAACTAGCTAAACCTTCGAAGCAATGCTTAATAGGTCAGTGGTTATTATCAAGTATGTACATATCTGTATCTACACATGTGAATACATTAAAGTCATATGAAATTAATACACCTATGTATACTTTGTGAGTGTGGGGAAGAAAGTTTCTTAAGTTTTATCCTACAAATTACTCACTGAAGTGTCAAACTAACCTGACTAACACTTGGTCATATATACATACATATTAGGTCTGGATTTCAAAGAGAAAGTATGTTTGTTTGTTATTTTACTGTACTATTTCCACATGATCTTTTTAAGGCACACTATTATTAATTCAGCTGCATTGATAAAGGACATTTCTGAATGCGTTCTTAGTTCTGTTGTTTGCTTGGACAAGAGCTGGTGCTACATGGGGTAAATGCAGTTCATGCTACTGAATATAGTAAATGTAAATATTTCAGTGGTTTTTGCTAATGTATCTTAAAAGGCATGTATGGTACATGTGCAGCTTTTAGAGAGAAAAATGACTGTCACTATTATATTTGGAATTAGTAATAATAGAATACTAAATACTGCTGTACTCTAAGTATGTTTTTTCATTAGTGAGATGAAGGGGGGAAATTCTATTTGATCAACTTTAATTGTAATGTCCACTAAATGAGTGCTATAGAATCATCCAGCCAAGTCGCCAGAAAAAAAATGTTGGCATTGTACATTTCCGCCAACTCCTATATGTTACATTGTACGTTTTATACATATCATATCTATGTTTCTAAAGTGACACTGAGCTGATGTTGTCCTGAGGAGGTGGAGGGGATTGTGGCTGCCAACCTTCAAACCAATAAACAGCAAAACTGGTTGTGATTTCTGGTGGCTTTTTAGGCACGAAACACTGGTGTTTTATAGTGACCCATCGCTAATTTTCCAGTGGGTATGCTGACCCAAAAAGCATTTGGCACCCACTTTTCATGCTGGACTTCTGCCCCTAAAACTCCTGTATGTATAACATAATCTTTTCCTAATCATAACCAAGTGGTTTTCAGCCTAAACCTAACCATGGCTTCATCACAGCCACGTAATAATGTGCAAATGTAACATATCCTTGGTTTGCAAAAATGTACAATGCCAACATTTTTTCCTGGCAACTGGCTTGAGTTATCATGGGATGTAGCAAACTAATGTATTGCTGAAGACACTGAGGTAAAACACCTATCAATCCTCATGTAGCAAAATGCATTTATCAAAGAAGTTCACCAAGAAGCTAGACTATCCCTTTGACTTTGACCTACTAGTACCATCAGTCAATAAGCTGTTATGATTTACAACAGCAGTGCATAATGTGTTGTTGTGTGTATCAACACAAAGGCTACTTTGGCACAGTTTCAGGATGCTGCTGGTGCCAGGAAAAAGACAGAAAAGTCTGGTTTGTGTCCAAACAAACAGTGGTGTATCTTTAGACTGTACATGTGCACGATTTTGTTAAACGTGTTACACAGAAGAAGGCATACACAGGAATTTATAAATCTGGAAGTAACTCTATTAACTTGTTTTTGATTTTGTGCAGACATATTTGGGAAATTACACAGATTTATGTATCTGACACCAGGAGAAGGTCCTGTTACTCTTAATGAGATTTGCATGACGAAATACTGTGTTAATACAATTACAAAGTCTATGCTTAATGGGTAAGCATGGTGAGTTAGATTAATAGGTGCTCACTCTTCCTCATAATGTAAGCTGCAGTTGCTGCTTGTAGGATGTACGAGGGCCTTTCCTCTCAGTCGACTAAATCCCTAACATTCACTATACAACTGGTCTTTAGAAAATATGAACTGTGTCTCACTAACAGCTTTCCTCTGGAGAAAACTGCAACTATACAGTGGAAAATATCAGAGGAAGAGGGTGACATGAAGAGCAGACTGGAAGAGCTAATGTGGCTGCAATAAAGGATAATGTTTGTTTTGGGTTGGTGTTTGCTAGCGAGACCACGACAGAAGTGTTTAATCTCCCAGTAAATAATGCATGATGCCAGCACATGTGATACAAGAGTGTTTGCCATAACTGTAGGCGACAAACTAACAATACTCAACCTACTGTTGTTGACAGACATTTCCTTGAATTTGCACCTGTGCTTGCATAATGCATAGCATAAATCGGGGGTTAAGCCTCCTGAAATGGTGTCAGCCCCAATGTGTGATCCCACTGTTTCTTTTAAAAGTGAAAACTTCCATGAAAAGCATTGAGTATGTTTGTACGTGTCCATCTGTCAAAAATGTGTTTCCCCATGAAGTTTACATATCATTCAAGTGACAATGTTTGCACACGCGTACATATGCACATACACGCACATTAGTGAATAACTGGTCATCATCATCTAAGCTTGTTCCAAAATGCTCTGTACATAATTCACTCCTGTAAAGATGTTTGAATTTGGCAGAGTGGGGAGCATGGTGCTGGTCAGTTGGCTGGCAGCTACTGTTTGTTTTTCTAATATTGTCAGTCACCAGTTTTATTATCACCATTTCTTGATTTTGTTACCCAAGAATAACCTGTGTGCCAACTTTCTGTCTGTATGTTGGATATAGACTTTCTGTAGCTGTATTAGAGTTGTCATAACAGTTTAAATGTGTGCACTTCATTCTGACATGCACAGTTAACCAGCAGTTTACAGGTAATCCCTGATTACTTACCATATTGTGCATAATGTTAGTGAAACTATGAAACTGTGTTATGGAAAACAATGTAATTGGCAAATTCCAAATATGAGATTGGTTTATATAAGTGGAGCACTTCTGTAAACCAATCAAGATTCAAGTGCTTACTCGTAAAGTTCTAGTTTATATGTCACTGAATCAACACATTCTCACTCCCAGCTTGTCTAATGCCGATACTTGGTCAGCTAAATCTCAAACTATGATGTTCTAGGTACTCCACCAATGTTGGTTTTTGACGGTCAGGGACGGCGTGTCAATTTGCGCTTGCTACCTATTTTGTTTTTTCGTGCAGGAAATGTGCAGTTTCTGCTCGTTAAATGGAGTTTCTTTTCAAAATGAACTTTTTAGGTTTACTTTCTTAGGTTTAGGCAACAGAAGTTCATGGTTAGGTTTAGAAAAAAACATAGTTTGGCTTTAAATAACTCTGTTTGTTATGAACATAATGCAGTGTCAAGTGACACATACGTCACATGACATCTGTCCCTAGCATAGTATGCTACACATATGAACACAATACCTTGTCATTAAAATAAGTCGATGTACTTTGGTTTTACACGGGAAACGAACAGCGGTCTCCTGGGTGAAAGTCCAGAGTTTGTTTGACCAATCCACCTCTACCTCTGCCCACTCTATGTGGACTTTCTCGCGCTTCATACTACAGCAGTTCCTCGAAAAATTAAAAAAATGCCGCTGCCCTAATGCTTCTCAAAGGAAGCCTTGTTTTTCGCTATCTGACGCCGAGAGCCTCTGACCACACATCGGTATTTGACAAGTTAGGAGTGAGACCGGGTTGACTGAATATATTCTCTTACAAATTCTGTTTATTCTGTGTGATCTAAATATTAATGGCTTTCTGTTCTTGTCTTCACAGTGTTAAGTTTCTAGCATTCGCCTTCTCTCTAATGAGGAGTCAGTAACCGGTAAACACAAATTTGAGGCGGGAGCCACGTAAGCGACAGGTGTGACGCGGATGGACAGTTTAAAGGAGATCTTTGGGGTGACAAGAGAGAGACCAGAGGTTAATCATGAATTTAAAAAAATCACATGGTCTGCTCCTCACGTTGTTACCAAAGCAGCCTCTTGGAACTCCGACCACATTTTTTGACAACTGTCTGACTGACTTTTTTTTTTTTCCTTTCTTTTTTCTGTTTTTTGGGCAAACTGACTGAGCATTGCACTGACACACTTTTGGGAGAGAAAAGGACTCCTGATTACACATTCCAGATGACATCTCTCTGACAACATTATACTCGCCATCTTGTACGATGACCAAACTCAGTACCATCCTCAGTGCTGAACAACTGAGCAACTTCACAACTTTCCGAAAAGAAAAAAAAAACAACAACAAAAAAACAAACACTTGTCTTCACAAAGGACCGAATGAACAATGTAGCATCTCTGCTAACATACTGTAGCATTTGTTGGCTGGGAAATAACTTGACTTAATCCATCCACAGTTCGAAGAGAGGAATTTATGCATTCAAGGGATCTTTTAGATGTCATTTTCCTCTTAGGTTCCTTTCCAGTGAAGAAAAAAATATAGAGTACATGAGAGACAAAGGATTGGTCTTACTCATTAAAACTATTAACATTCCAAAAAAAGAATTCGATGCACTAAATACAAACAGTGCACATGAAATCAACCACAAATGCACAGTATTTACCAACACCCACACTATACTCTCTCATTCAAGTTTAGCACTTGTATAGCATGTTTGCCACTGAACCTATGTCTTCCATTCACTTTTATTAGACTGAAACACTGCCCTCTTCACAAGTACTGAGATAATCAAAAACAGCACTAACTATGAAGTTGAACAAATGAAGCACATGTAGCATCAGCTCAAACAGGTCATGTATGGCATTTACTGTACATTTAGACTCACCTGAAACATTCACCACAAGGAAATGGTGGAAAAAGACTTCTCTTTATCTCTCATGTACTGACATGGGCTCACCCCGAAAATGCGATACCAAAGGTCCTGTAGCAAAGACTTGCTGAATGACCTTCTGTAACGTATCGCAGATCAAGAGGAATATTTCATTTAGGGTGAGGCTTGTACTCGCCCTCACACTGCCCATTGCCTATGTTTGGTACAAACACATGCCTCTAAAAGTACTTTAACTGCCACTAGCATCTCATCTCTATATGCACATTTTAGTACCTTTTCCCATGTCTGACTGACACAGTGCTCAGTCATGAGGAGCAAAAAGACTGACTCAAGGAGACAAAACAAAACAAAAAGACAATTGTCAGTCTTTCTTCGGTATCAAGGGATATTGGCCTGCCTAAATTACGACGAAAAGGACGCCCATGCCACGAGGACGCTTTTTACGTCGCATAAAACTGTCCATTAACTGGAAATTCTGTGTTATTATTTTTTGAAAGGGACCAATCAGATACATGCTCCTCCTAACACAAAAGGCCGACACTGCCAATTAGGCACAAGAATTTCCAGATGAATACTGCCCCATCTCTCTCTTGTCCCTCTTGCTGCCAACGACTGCTGCTCAGGCAAGTCGATGTCAAGATAAGGATGGCCCATCAGGGGAGCCCTTTAGGCAAAGGGGAAAATGAGAAGAAATGGACCAAGAGTAGAGCAAGTGTGGAAGTGTACAAAGAGAACAAATCTATATTTTGATAAACAAATCAACTATCCATGGCTTCGAAGGAAGTTTCTGAACAGAAAAAGGTCCAGAATGGAAGAAAGGAAAAAAAAAATCAGATGCAAATCTCAATAGAATGTTTGGCATCATGAAATGGAGTCAAAGTCCTGGAAAAAAAAAGATGGGAAGTGAATATTTTGTTACGAGGAGTGGTTGTTTTCCCCACAAGCACCGGGAAAATGTTCTTTTGAAAGACAATGAGCAATGACAGACTCTTGCCTATAAAGACAAAGGATGGACGCTGAGATAAACAAATGAAGAAAAAAAAAAAGATAATGCATTTTTGTAACTTTGTTTACCAGCATGACTAGTTTGCATGACTGTCTTTTCTGCAAGCCCTTAGTTGAAGACAAGGGTGCTAGAGATACAAAAAAGTATATATAAAATGAATTAAAAAAATGTTATATGCAATTAATGTTTTAAAAAAAGATTATAATCAAAGAGAAGAGCTATATTTTGTTTTGAAAAGTTAAAAAAAAATGTGAATATTGAAACATGTATGTTTGCAAAGTACACCCTGAACTATGTTTTGTTTGATGAAATCTCTCTGCTACTACTGCCCTACATTCCCAATTCCAGTGTTTTCGACCGCTGCCACAGTTTTACTTTGTTGTGCATCGAGCAGTATATTTTATAACCATTCAGTTCTAACCATTCGAGACTTTGCCAAACTATAGCATTTGCGCAAAGGTTGTTTGTTGTTAATCGCAAAGTCCATGTTTTCTTCCTTGAATCATTTGCACAACTACCGTAGCAGCAGCAGCAGCAGCAGCAGCAGCAGCAACAGCAGCAGCACTTCTAAAAAAAAAAAAAAAAAGCTCTCCATACCACAACTTTGACTGCTTGATTAGTACTCATAGTTTGCTTTTTTTTCTTTGGCAATAATATAAGAGTTGTCACATGATTGTAGCAGGGCAAATGGAGAACCTCGAGAGTATCTTCAACGCCTCAGTCAGTGTTAAAGAGATCTGTAAAGGCCTTGGATGTCCCATGGCAGGATTTTGCTGGGATAGGCAGTTCTGTTCCACTAGTCCTACGTAGAACAAAAATGGGAGTACAAGTGCAGGTTATCCAATAAAGAAAGATACTATACTGGCGAACAATCAAGAGAGATTTCAGGTTTGCATGGAACCAACTGCCATTCCAAAGTTTATGTGTGGTTTAAAGGACTCAGGTGTGTCGATGGTGTGTGTGGATGTAGGTGTTTTCTTTCTAACATAATAAATTCTAGTATATAGATAACGATAATGTGAACACCTCACCGTGATGTGTAAAAAAACGCATGCATTATGACTTGATAATCTCTCGAGGGGGGGAACAGAGTCTTGACATATCCCCCTTAGCCTCCTATCATCGTTTGTCATGAATCCAGTCCTGATAACTATGAACACTGTGCCGTGTCGTAGAGCAGAAACGTCTTCCTTCGAGAGGCAACTGAAAACTACTCACACTCGCAGTGTCAGCATGAGTGTGTAGAGGTAGCTCGTCTTTGTTTTTCTTTTCTAGGTGGTCAGGTCTTTGCGTTCGTCATTACCCATGGAGTTACCGTCATCCAGCTGGCTAGTCGGCAGCTCATTACAGCACACAACGCAGTCATGTGAGCACCAATCAAAGAGACCCAGAGCTTCCAAAATGATGTCAGTGAAGTACTTTAAGTGTTGCGAGAAAGAGAGGATGAGAGATACCAGTGTCCACCAAGGGGAGATTGATTTTAAAAAGCATTTTATTGTTGAGTGCTCTCCAGGCACCTCATCCTTGGTTTGGTATTCCAAGTGAGTTTCAGGCCCTGCTGGTTCAGGGCTCAGCTCAGGCAGCTGAATGGTCGTCTGTCCATTCCCAGTACATTGCAGTTGGAGGCTCACCAGAATATCATGTGATGTAGACTACATAGACACAGTCCTAGAGCTTCTGTCTATTTTCAAAAACGGTCCGTGGGATTTTGTTTTGGTCCCTTATCTTTTTAAAGCTCCCGATTTTTCCTTTCCCATTTTGGAAGGCATTAAGCAACCGCGGCTTTTGATGGTCACAAAGATGTTTATGAATATTTCAGAGGCAAACTTCGAGCAATGGTGTGCACACTTGCAAAAACTTTGTGCTTCACCCAGCTGTTTGTGTTTTCATGGCCGAGTACTGTCCTGTTTTTTTGTTTCTTTCCCTTTGTTTCTCACGATACGTTTGCCATGTCTTCATTCTCTTCATTGTGACTGCTCTGCCAGTGCCAGACTGAAAAAGATGTCTTTCCTTTTTCTATTGCATAATACTGCCATTTGATTTAGTCATGTTGAACAGAATGAGTTACAATGTCGAGAGTGCTAAGTCTGTTTTATTTTCAAAAGTTTGCAATCTGTTATGAAATGTTAAAGATTTCCTGTGTAACACTCACATAACCAAAACGACAAAAATGCTTTACATGGTAAGTAGGTGCCACTGTTAACCTCAAGGTTACTATGTGTTGTGATAATATTATGACACGTCCTCTCTGGGTGTCTAGAAGGTGTTATGTGGTCATTGGTTGACACATTCTATTGGTTTTCTTTATGTGCCTGTTTCTGTTCAATATGTTTTTCTTAATTGAGGACACTGTATGCAATCCGCACCACGAATGCCGCTGATCGACACTTAACTGTATGCTCCCTGAGACACAGATGTTCTGTCATCAGTTCAGATGATTGCAACCACATGTGTAGTGGCTTTATGGCTTTCCATAGAGTGACTTAGCAATCACATTAATCTAAAAAAAAAAAAAAATTATTTTACAAAGCGATAAGACCAGAGTTGTTTTAGAGGAAATGTTATCATACTGAATAGATTTTTCTAATATATTTCATATCTTATTTTAATTAGAAATAACATTGTCAACACCACAGAAGTCATACCGATATACATACATCTGATATTACAGGCTGACATCATGCATTCATGTAAGCATTCCAAAGATAAAAAGATGTATGTTCATTTCACATGCCATCACATTGTATAAAACAGACTTAGGTACTAGTCCATTGTACTGCGGTCTTAGTAGGAGAGTGAATGGGGAGAAGAGGTGGTCACTGGAGTATCTGGTTGTGACTTATGCCGGATTTTATTTTTGAAATGTTGGGACACAAAGAACAACTCATCAAGAACTGTATAAAGTATATTTCAACGGAATGTTCATGATCTATCTTTTTATATTTTGAAGAAAAAATAGAAACATATCAATAAAGTGTCATAATTGAACATATTTCTACTATTGAGACTTAAAATGTATGAATGTCAATGCGATCTAATGTGAACTAATCTCCATAGCAGCTTGAATGAATAACTGATTAACAGTCATGAGATGCTTTTTCAGAGACATTACAAATTGCTTAAAAATCATTGAGATGAACTTAAAATAAATGAAAAAGTGACATCAATGGCGTGTCAGTTTGTTTAAGCTCTCCAACTGGGGAAATGTGTGCTCCTGTGCGTACTGACGTCTGTACTGACTGTCACAGTTAACGCTCTTCATCAGCCTGTCAGGAACAGGGTACCACAACACGGTGATTGATCTAATGTGGCTTGAAGTGTGGACACAACCAAAGTCCAAAGTCTCCCAAGAAACTGAAGGATGACACATTAAATTTGTGACTGGAAGTTCAAGGATATGGTGTATTTTGACGCCAGAGTTTCCAAGAAGGTCCAACTGTCAAGTTTTTTTTTCAGTCGGTGACAGTTGCATTGAGACATTCTTAGTGTCTAAAATAAAGACATGTCATATAATGGTAATCTATAATTTTGAGGTCAGCTGTGACTGTGACATGATATTTGAGAATGATGAGGTGATGCAAGTGCTGGTTTCCTGCCTCGATATCAAATAACTGTAACAGTAACTTCGAATATCCGTGAAAGTGGACACCAACACTTTGGATCGTAAGGATCTGAAATATGTTTTAACTCACTGGTTCCAGTCCTGACCCCCACTAGGGGTCACCAAAGCTATATAGAGATATCTATCTATCTATCTATCTATCTATCTATCTAAAAAGTAGGCTGTTATCTCAACACTTACTGTATTTTAATTTGAGATTATTAGTCAGTCAAGACATAAACTTAAAAAGTCTCATGCAATAAGGGCACGGTAAAGATCCGAATGCAATCTTTATTCCCAGATGTGTTATTAAGCAGTTAAATTAGCCAAAGAGCTGAAAGAAAAATGGCCAAGCCTCAGGAAGATAAAACAAATTTGTCAAAAAAGAAGCCTATTAAGTATGTATGATTGTGAAAAAATAAATAAATAAAAAAGATAAAATAAAAAAACAATACAGACAGATAATTGTATAAAATATTCCTAAAAATATCAGGAAAACTCGTCTCTAATTAAATATTCATGGGGAATTATAATAATAGGAAATAACAGTTTTATCATGGTCACTATATGAGTTAATTGTACAATTTATGAGTTGTTCTACTGCACTTAAAATATGTCGGGGGTTTATCAGTTCACTCAATGATAGAAAAAGAGTCCCTGAAATAAAAAAAGGTTGGGAGTCACTGTCTTATCTGATACCAATTAATTCTATTCTTGGATCCATAATAGATCATGTGAGAGTTTAGGATAATTGGTACATTAGGTGTGCACAAGATGGAGAAAATAAAACCTGAATCTGTTGCTATAATCTTAAGGTACATAAAAGACTACAGCTGGATACTGCAGGTGAGCCATCCACTAATGCTCTGACAATCTTGTATGATTTACCAGACACATTACAAAGCATGGCAAGCAGAAAGTGCTTGAAAATCAGCAACTATTTACTAAGGTAAATCACAGCTTCTGATGAGATACCTGCACAGAGGAACAGCATTACTAAATAATCCCAACACTGCTGTTTACTTATATCCATGATAAAGGCACAGAACCATACGCTGCTGTAAGGACCACATGGTAAGAAATAGCAATGTGGTCTGATGAGTCATCTGTTTTCTACTCATGGATACCCAGTGTCTGTTTCAGACCTGTTCTACGTAGTGATGAATCTGTGCTGGTATGTGCAGCCATCTCACGGGAGCCACAAAAGTCTCATAATTGCCTGCATAGCTGCATGAAACCTAAAGAATATTAAGTCATTTTACAGAGGCAGAAGCACCTGCTTCTCTGTCACAGTATTCCCCTCACTAGGATTAGGATGCACCAAACTAAAAATAACACATTTCTATGGAGAGTCATTTTGGGGTTGATTTCCTCCACAAAAACGAGGAGAATTCCTTACTGCATTTAATCAATACTTGATAATCATATGTAGCTCATTTATTATGTCCACACTGCACATATTATTTCTTTATAAGCACATTTACACAAACGGTTGTCAGATTCATACTGAGGAGTGTGAGTTATATCATCCAATGACATGATATGCCATCAAATGGGGATGTAATGTAGCAGCCCAGTGAGCAGTATGTTTTTTTCTGTGACTGAAGGCAGCTATGAGGAAATGTCGGCAGATGCCTCCTTCAGTTTTTTCTCCTCTGTGCCAAAACTTCACCTCCCTCTGGTGGCAATACGCAGTAGTGTCTGCTGTGGTCCATATAATTAGAGCAGGACTTTTGACTAATAGCAGTAAATGTGATGATTGGTTGGTTTAGTCTTTAAGTATCTGGTTATTTTTAAAGTTCTTGTTTTAATCACAAAGTCAGACTGACCTAAAATATTGACATTATTTTTAACATAGTATTATTATTGTTGTTGATATTTTGGGTCTTTTTGCACCTGTATTTGTATTGTTTTTCTGACTCCGTTTTATATCACAAAGCCATAGTCAAACGAGATTACCAGAATTTAAACCAATAATATGAGGGATATTTATTTTATATTGTTCACTTGCAGCATTTAACGTTGTCCCTGTGACAAATACTTAGCTAATGTCATTTTACCACTACTTACTTGATCCCCAGTGCCTTAAATCCAGTCCCCGGAGGCTCAGGTGGTGGCTGCTTTCCCTGCTGAAGCCTGTTGTGTGACACACAGCAATCCTGTGGGGATAAGAAACAGATTGAGAGACTGGCCGGGGCTGTTCATGATGGATGGATGGAAATGGAGGCGGTCAAGGGTCCAAGTTTATTTAAAAATAAAGCTAAAAAAAAATAGCATTACCTAAATGATTGTTGTGCTGCTCTGCAAATATTAAAAAGGTACCCAAAATTTACCCCAAAAAATACATTCATGTAATTGTTCCTGTAGTGCTTTACTTTGTTTCCTTTGTGACAAAACTACCCATGAGGCAAAAATTAACCTTATCTTGTACTTCTCAACAACAGCTTATAATATATAAATGCTAATTTTACTTTGATTTTCTACCTTAGCCTCTGTTACTCCTCTTTAGCTTCCCTGCAGTCATAAAGCAGCAAAACAGTTATGCCAATGCTAACATCAAAGCTAGGCTATACTTATAGTGCTAAAACTGCAAATAGCACCACAGTTTTACTACATACACAACAATTACGTGATAAAGTTGGTAGCCAACAAAGTGGTTTCTAATTTCTTCAAACATTACCCACTCAAAAAAACAAAACAATAAAACAAACAAAAATAAAAGACACAAATACTCACAAGGACTGGCTAAAAATTTGCTGTCACATATTCATTGTCTTTTTTCTTCTGTAGGACAGACAGTTTTGTTGGTTAAAAAAAAAAAGTTGAAAGATTGGTTGGTATATACTTGAATGGTAAATTAATTAAAGGTCCAGTGTGTACGCCGGGTTTAAACAGATATAGTATGGGGAAAACTGCATTCTCTTACCATTCACCTTGGGCATGGAACAGAGATCTACAATTAGAAACACTTATATCCACTGATGAATTTAAGGGCATCTTAAAGAATGTGGCGACAAAGACATGTGCTTGTGTGTTTTTTTAGGGGTCACTATGTTTGAACAGTTGTTGTTTTATTGTGGATTTTTGTATTATATGTTGTATTTGTTGCATCTTAAATGTTTTTTTCATCACTGCTACCTTGGACAGGTCTCTCTTGTGAAAAGAGATTTTCAATCTCAATGGGACTTCCTGGTTAAATAAAGGTAAAATAAATAAGATTAAGGGGGATTCAGTGGTATCTCACAGTGAGGACTGCAGATTGCCACCAGATGAAACTTCTCCCAGTTAGAACTACTTCAGTGTTCATTGTTCAGGAGGTTTTTACTGGGAGTTGAATTATCCTTGGAGATCTTCCCTCTCCGAAATAAATGGACCCGCTGATTTATAACAGTAACAATGCACAATACAGCAGTTTCACATTAAAAAAATCTGCATTTTCTAATGCTTTTGTCACAGAGAGGCTTCTAACTACGGTGGCTGATGCTAAAACATGAACGGCTTTATCTGGCACCAATGTTTGATTTGTCCTTTTTGGGCTACTGTAGAAACATGGCGATGCAACACACAGAGAATCCACTTCCGATGTAGATATAAACGTCCATTCTGAGGTAACAAAAACACATCAATTCTTAATTTCAAGTGATTATACATAAATGAAAACATACATATTCCATTTCTGCCAATCAAACTGGACCTAAAAAAAACAGCAGGATCTAAATTCCTATATTACAAGCTTGCTTTTTGTGCAGTGATAAGTTTGCAACTTTAATTTAATTGCTAACTTGCTCTCCAACAGCAAACCATTTCCAACAAGTTCATGTCTTATACTTAAAACATTCTGTGAACATAACTGGAAGCCCTGTCTTGAATTGTCTTAAAGTAGTGCAATGTTATCATGGGTTTGAGATAGTCTTAGTCAGGATAACACAAAGTATATCATGAATTATAGTTTATATAAACCTAAAAGCGCAAGAAAAATGGCTTCTGCAAAATATTTAAAACCAACATATGCCAAATCCCTCATAACAATGGAAAAAAAAATTACAACAAACAATGAAATATGTGTTGCTTATCAGGAAAAGAATAGACTATTTGTCATGTATGTTTTTTTACATGATTATCACCGTAGAGTTCCACTGTTTTTTGTTTTTAAATCAAATACGAGTCAATGCGGAAGAGTGAGGGACCTCTGTCAGAGTACCACGCTTGTTAGAGGGGGTAACACTGTGCGGTGCCAGGCAGAGGTGACATTTGATAGGAAGGTTGAAGGTTGTCTTGCCTCATAACTGAAATGGAGGGAAAGGACAGGGAGGGGTTGGAGGGATCTAGCAGAGATTGAATTTCAACAGGACAGCATTCCCAAAAAATTTCAAGACAGACAACGCGAGGCACCAAGGGGACGGGAGAAGATCGCGGATGTTCCCTGAGCAAACAACTGGAAGCACAGTTTGTGTACAAGCCGGTCAGAGAGGCAGGAGGACAAGAACTTTGTGTGTATGATAGACGGACATGATGACAGAGAGAAAGACAGGCAACACGATGACAAACAGAAGACAAACAATGTGATTTTTCATCCAGTCACTAGTCTCTGTCAACAGCTGTTTTACACTTAGTGAGTACATGCTTTCATCTCGCTAACTGGGTACTAACTTTGCTTGTTGTTTCTCTTTTTTATCTACCTTTGAAAAGAAGTAAAATAAATAACATTTAAAAGAATCTTTTGCAAATACAGTCTCTGCTACAGTATCTCCCCTACAGACGTTTGCTTCTAATGTCACCTGTAATGCTTGTCGATTGAAACACAATCCACTGATGGAGCTATCACTCTGGTTTCAGACAGGGTTTGCTCTTAAATCCAGTTGCTCTACGAATTCTCAGGAGAGCGGTTTGCAGCGTTCCCTGGCCAGGGATACACACAGTAATGGACAGCAGTGACCCACAGGAAGACGAAAGAGGAAGCAGAGGGAAAGAGAGTGATGGGGAGAGTGGTAAACAGCTGAAGAATCAGCTCAACTGTGAGGAAAAAGGAGAGAAGGAGAATAAAGGGAACGAGAAGGAGAAGAAGAAAGAGAGCCGGCGTTCTGGGTCTCTATGGAGGAGTGGATGGGCGCTGAGTGAAAGACTGGCCATCAATGTCTCAGGGATGCGTTACGAAACTCAGCTCCGCACCTTAGCCCAATTCCCCGACTCCATGCTCGGTGACCCCAGGCGGAGGTCGCGGTACTTTGACCCACTTCGAAACGAGCTCTTCCTGGACCGAAATCGTGCCTGCTTTGACGCCATTTTGTACTTTTACCAATCAGGCGGGAGGCTTCGGAGGCCCGCGAACATACCCCTGGACATTTTCATGGACGAGCTGATATTCTATGAGCTGGGAGAGGACATCATGAATCGCTTCAAGGAGGACGAGGGTTTTCCAAAAGAAGAGGAGAGGCCGCTGCCATCGAACAATATCCAGAGGAGATTGTGGATGCTGTTTGAGCACCCTGAGTCCTCATCCGGCGCACGTATCATAGCCATCATCAGTGTCATGGTCATTGTGGTGTCCATCCTCATCTTCTGCCTGGAGACACTGCCCGACTTCCGGTCTGAGAAAGAGACACGAGAGGTAGGAGATGTGATTAGAGCATGTGTCTAGGAGGCAGAATAGTATAAAGAAGTGTCAGGGATGGAGGATTGCAAATTTCTTAGGGATTCCAAATGTCCAAACCCAGCTGGCCACCAATGGCGTTAGGTGTTGATATTTTGTTGAATTTAAATTGTGAGGTCAAATGACCAAAATCCAGTGTCTTCCAAGTGTCAAAATATATACATGAGGTATTGAGAGCAAACCCAACAACCAATTCCAATTCCATTAGACATTTAAAGTACCATTAACCTAAATTTCATTACATCTGTCCAATGTAAGAGTCTGTCCTTGTTCTGACGGCATATTGATGTCCAGTCCCAGCTGTGAAGGTTAGGTGGATTTTGGGGGTAAATGGTGTGCAGTGTCCTCCATTTAGACAAATAAGACCTACCTTGAGAGGATTTATACAGCAGCACATTGCATAGACCTTCACAAGAGAAAAAAATTAGACACCTGATCTCGCAATTATGAGTTACTTTCTCATAATTACGAGATCAGGATCTCGTAATTATGAAAAATGTTGAGGTAGCTATTGTATGTCAGGTTTCTCTCCCATTCTTTACCTATAAACTTACTAGTTACTGAATTAAATATCAATAGGGCTGTGGGTAAAGTAAAAGAACGGGGTCAGATTCTCTGGGTAACTTGATTGACTTTAATGTCCAAGAAAGAATGTAGGATAACTGAGCATTGACAAACAATGGTGGCATCTCACATCTTATATATATATATACACACACATATATATATATGTATACATCACTCTGCCAATCTTAATCATAACTCTCCTTGTCTGCATGTAAGGCGCACGATATTAAATAGTTCCAAATTTAACGTAAAGAGCAAAATAAAATGTGTAAACAATATATGAATGTAGTTAACATTAAATTATGTAGATGCAAAATAATGAGAAGAGACAATCTACTGGATACGTCCTCACGAAAATAAATCTTGTCTTACATTATCAATGGTTACTAACCTAGGCTACAGGATTAGACAGTGGGCAATAGTGGTGCTGTCACATTTAAACTGCTTTTATGCCCTTCTTGGTATGAGTCAGTGGGACATTTTAATTTTACTAAATTAATATTAGTATGTCAACACTGCTTAGGGTTCTCAAGTTAGTGGGATTGTTCAGGTGGAAAGCCCAGTTTGATCTGTTGGAAGTTGCTTAAATCAATGCATTTCCAGCTTTTTTTCCTAAGTACGAGATCATTTTTTTTCTTGTAATCATGGGATAAAGTGTCTAATTTTTTTTATAAATGCAATACTTACGTAGTAATGTCACCAGTATAAAAATGGGAATCATATCAACAAAGGAAACTAGTATAGGTGGGGTAGGTAGGGCTTGGACACGAGAGAATATAATGTTATCAGTCTCTCTTGAAAGATGACCACCATTAAATCTAGTTCATATTTTTATATCATGACTCTATGTTCAGTATCACACCAACTGATTAATGCCATGTGCTAAAGCAGAGACACTAAAAGCCCATATTGAACCACCTGGGTTTAAAGTTTTGAAAGTGTTGACTCCCTGGGTCAAGCGGAAACATGATATCATGGGAAGCAGGTGTTTAGGTAAACACATGGTGAGTACTACAGTATGTGTTAAGAGGAAAAATACTGACATGGACACAACAATTTTTCAATATGTCTGGAAGCAGACCAGATAGAGAGGGAGAGAGAGACTGAGGGAAGCTTATGGTGTGATTATTTTAGTCGGCTGTTAAATCTGATACACATGGATTGAGGAAGCGCTAAAGGGTACAGGGAGCAATGGGTGGGGGCCTGGAGTACAAATAAAAAGAAAGACAGGGTCAGGAGACAGTTAGGTGTGTTAATAAAAGGTCATACAAGTGACCGAACACATAGGCAAAGGTGAGCCAATAAAGCCTTCCAGTGGATTAGAACAGGAGACTGAAAGGTCTCGCAGGATGAGAAGTGTACGCTGGGTCATGTTAACACATTCTTCCAGGACTGCTGTGCTAGGCCAGGCCTGCCTTTGCACAAGGGAGCTGCCAGGAAACTACTGTAACATACTCCAGTCCAAGTCAGTGACAGACCCACTGAGCTGCATTGCCAATGTTGCATGGCTGCAGAGGCCACGGAGACGGGATAGCAGCCAAGGCGGAGATGGACGAGGAGACGTTCTCGCGTTTCTCTTCGGAGATCTCACGGGGTTATATTTAGTCTTAGGAGAGCCCTTGGAGCAGATCAACACATAGATGTCCACCTTTAGCAATAAACACTGTCACCGACCGGCTACCGAAAGTCACAAGGAATACTGTAGGTTTATTTAAACTACACTGAAACTTTATATATTATACACAGCCCATTACAGCATTACTAAGCTGATCCTGGTATATCCGTATCATCCATTTTCACACCTTTAATTTGATGTTAAGTGTAAGATGTTTTAAACAGCCACGGTCCAAGGCTTGAGTGTAATGCTAATAACAGACACGGAGGAAGGAAAGACAGGTGGACTGAAAAAGAGATAGTGAGAGCTATGACTGAAATGTATAGCCACAGATGTCAAACGCTTTTATGATGGTGTCAAAAGTGAGAACCAATGAGTTGGTGGACAAGTGTCAATGTAGTTTATTACAGTTACATGAAAACAGTATCTCTGCAGCAGTTTGACATATAATAATAATACGACAGCCTACATTTAAAGGAACAATTTGTCATATCGATAAACAGTTAGATGAGAAGATATATATACCACTCTCATGCCTATACATGTAGCTGAATCCACCAGCTGGTTAGCCTAGCTTAGCATAAAGACTGGTAAGGCAAGGAAGCAGCCAGCTTGGCTCTGTCAAAAGGTAACATAATTCAGCTACCAGCACTTCTAAGCTCACTAATTAACACTTTATATCTATTTTTATGCCTCCACATTGGCAATAGCTGTGCCCAGAGGCATTATGTTTAAAGGTTGTCCGTTCGTCTGTCCATCCATCCATCGATCCGATTCTTGTGTGCAATATCTCAAGAACACCTTGAGGGAATATTTTCAAATTTGGCTCAAATGTCCACTTGTGATTAGGATGATTTGATTGGAGTTTGGTGGTCAAAGGTCAAGGTTACTGTGGCCTTGCTTCTGTCTCATTCTTGTGAACACCCTATCTGAAGAAGGCTTTGAGGGGATTTCGTCAAATCTGATAAGTCTAATAGGATATAATGGTGACGTGATGACATTTTGCATGCAAAAGGTCAAAGGTCAGCTTCACTGTGACGTCATAATATCTGCATAAAACAATTTTCTGGCCATTACTCAACGTCATATCTAACAGACGGAGAGACATTTGGTCCGTTACTGAATTGGTGACACTAATATTAGGAGCCCACCTTGAAACTGTGCTGATTCTTGAAGATGGGTTTGAAGCATCCATGTTTTCACAGACATGGATGTAAACTGTAACTGCGAGTTGACAGGTTTGTGGAGGCGGTAATTCTAGTTTTTGACAAAAAATCTATACAAAAACTGAAGCATAAACGATGTAAATTCACAGTTTTACAAAGGGTCATGTGCCAGACGATTTCAAGCAAGAAATGTTGCTCAGTTTTTGTATGTGTTGTTTTCACACTTATTATAATGTCCTAATAAGTGAGCTATACAGCTACTCGTAGGTGGATTTTGTTACTTTTGAAAAGAACCAGGCGAGCTGTTTACCCTTCTTTCCGATCTTTGTGCTAAGCTAAGCTAACCGTCTGCTGATTTTAGCTTTATAACAACTTTACAGACTTAAAAGTGATGGTTTCCATCTTTTCAACTCTGGGCAAGAAAGCAAATAGACATACTCCCCCAAATCCAACTAGTCCCTTCAGTTTGGTTAATTATTTATAGTTTAAAGATCCAAGCTGATAAATGAATGTTGGCATTGTACATTTCTGCCTGTGTAACATTTGTACATAACTTTATGTTTCTTTAATGCTGTGGTTATGTGTAGAAACAAATAACACTTGGTTATGGTTAAGAAAAGATCACGTTTTGGCTTAAAATACTTTTTTGGTGCCACAATCATGGCTGGAATTGCTGCCTTTGTCTTGCTAAGAAACACCTGGTTTTATTGTTTGTCCATTTGGAACAATGGTCTACAGTCTGGCAGCCATCTCACCTTGCTGTCACACCATCCACCATTTCCTCCACATCCTGATGTCAGCTCATACATGCGATCAGAAATATATCACTTTCAGAACTTTGACATGATACATATCAAATGTACAAATGTAACATGTAACACATGGTTTGCAGAAACATACAATGCCAACACCTTCTCCTGGCAACTGGGCTTGAAGAACAGTTAGCAAAGTGACAGGTCTAATTGTGTATTTCCATACTTAATTAGCATGTTTTCTGTCTTTCCTGTCTGTCCTGTCTCTTTTATGTCAGGAATATTATTACAGGTACCACTCCCAGGCAAAGAACATATCTGAGAACATGCCTCCTCCAAACAGTGCTTTCCAAGACCCCTTCTTCATGGTGGAGACCATCTGTATATGCTGGTTCTCCTTTGAGCTCCTCATGCGCTTTGCTTGCTGTCCCAGCAAACCGCACTTCTTCAAGGATGTCATGAACTTCATCGATTTCAGTGCTATCCTGCCCTATTTCGTCACATTGGGAACGGAGCTGGCCAAGGACAATGACGCCTCTCCAGCCACATCCTTGGCCATCATCAGAGTCATCAGGTTAGTGAGGGTGTTCAGGATCTTCAAGTTGTCTCGTCACTCCAAGGGCCTCCAGATCCTGGGTCAGACACTGAGGGCTAGCATGCGCGAGCTGGGCCTGCTGATCTTCTTCCTGTTTATTGGCGTAATCCTCTTCTCCAGCGCCATCTACTTTGCCGAGGCTGATCACACTGACACCGACTTCATTAGCATACCACATGCCTTCTGGTGGGCAGTTGTCACCATGACCACAGTGGGCTATGGTGACATGTACCCAGAAACAGTGTGGGGTAAGATGGTTGGCTCGATGTGTGCCATTGCCGGCGTGCTCACCATCTCACTGCCAGTGCCTGTCATAGTGTCCAATTTTAGCTACTTCTACCATCGGGAGACTGAATGTGAGGATCAAACCGAGTACAAACACGTCCAGACGAGTCTTTGGGAGGAGGAGGGGCCAGAAGGGGAGGAAACAGAGGAAGGTGATAGAGATCCGGAGGGAGATTATTATGCCATTGAAGGCATCTGCAACCCTTTGAATGGGACTCTGCTGGCTGGACTGTGTACAGGGCAAAGCACAGAGTTCAGAGGAGGAAACATGTATCTGAGGGAACCATTGGTTACTCAAGTGTAGGGAGGCTGAGTGTTGTTTTGTAGCTTTCGACAAAGACACAGTCGGAAGTGAACAAAAAAGCAGAATGAAACACAATGAATGAAATTAGAAAAAAGGAAACTGGAAAATAAAACTGCCTTTTATTGTTCATTTAAAGGTATTTATGACAGCACTTGCCAGCCAAATGTCACTGAAAGGCAACTTTTGTATAATATAGCTTTAAAAAAGCCACAAAAAAAAGACTGAGTGAGTTTAACATTCTCAGGGTCTTGATATAAATATAGTATGAGCTGTTATTTATTAATGCTATCAGCTTTGTGTTTTAAAATGACTTTCTGAATGTCCTTTCTGTGCCTTAAAACTATGATGTCTTAGTCACTTTGATGTCACTTTTTGGCTTAATGTTTGAAGTGGAAACAGATAGATTATCGACAATATAGACGTCACCAAAACTCAACCAAACACCAGCAGAGCTGTCGCCACGGACAGATCGAGATTCCCTCGTCAACCAACCCCACGTTCTCAACATTCTCCTGTAGGTAATGTACAAAGTTCACATTTGTGTAGATTCGGCTCATGTGACCTGAAGCGCCTGGCGTGACCTTTATTGCTGTAACACAACACTGTCGCATTACTCAGTGACACGGTGTGACCCATTTGTGTTAAAGGGGAACGTTTTGATTGCAGAAGTTCTGTATTTACCTGCTCAAATATGCTCTCAGTGTTTTTAATAAAGATTTTATTTTGTTAACTTTCTTAACAGAAGTGTTATTTATGGTTGCCTGTGATATAGAGCAATTATTTAAAGAAAAGGTGCTGGTGCCACTGAAAAAATAATATTTGCCTAGTAGGTATAGCAGTGTTATGTTAGGAAATGAAACGTAACAAACTCGAGAAACAAAATTATACTTAATCCGTCACCACTTAGCCTACTGTATCCCTAGGATCAACATTTGTCGCTGAGGTCTGCCAGATGCAATCTGTCTTTCCCTTTTGTATGAACGACCTTTACCACAGCCACTAAGCTGCTCTCAGCATGTAGCTTCCAACAACGCTGTTCTCAATGTCACTGGAACACATAAGACTTTCTAGCACAGTGATGATCCATGGAAGGTATGTGAACTAATGTAGCTTTGCTATTGCAAGCGCTGCCACTGATGTGTTTGTTTTATTGATGTTAATTTAACACTCTTAGATGAGTGACATTAAACATAATGTTGATTTTAACACTCCCTCTATATATGTATGCAGGGGTGCAGGGGGACACAGGGTAGACATTCCCCTCAATAATGTGAACACGTTCAGCAAAGTAGCAGAGGACTTTTATTTTGACTGCAAAGTCCTAGGGCTTCTGTGAAACTACACCTACATAGGGCAACAAAAAAGTTTATCGTGGGTACGTAGGTACAATGGACAACCAAGAAAGGACAGCAGACGAGATAAAACAGTAGCAAACATTTCAGTCCTTGACCATCATCAGTGCTCAGCAACACATTCTCACTCTGACCTTGACCAGAGTTGGGTATAACGCGTTACAAAGTAACGCGTTAGAGTACTATTAGTTTTTGCAGTAACGGGTAACCTAACGCGTTAGTTTGCTGTTTGAGTAATCAAATACTTAAGTACATTTTCAAACAAGACATCAGTTACTTCTGTTACTTTTAGAACGCTGGTCCTTCAGCCCCGAAACAGCAACGGCTGTCATTTGGTTCTAATAACGGAGACAACGTTAAACCTATCAGTCTGAAAGAAGCCACGGAGCTTGTGGCTCGCTATGTGGTTGGAGAAATGCTGCCGTTGTCTAAATAGGTGGAGTCTAAATAGGCGGAGTAGGACTCGCTGACAGACATATTTCAGACTCAGGACTTGCATTAACGTTATGCCTGGTACACGCTACACGCTGGTACTCACCAATTATCCCCGGTCGTCTTTCACGGCGTGTGTGATGTCATCGGGTTATTCTTGTCCTGTTTTTATTACTTTGACTATTATTTGAGTGACTGCCAGAACTGTGTCTGTTCATGTGCCAGCCGACATGTTGTTGTAGTCACCTAAAAGCGTCAGCAGATGGCAGGAGCTCCATTTGAAGCGCCATAAGTAAACTGTCAAGCTACTGTATCTTCCACAGGAAGTTCTGACAAATGTTTCAGAATAAAAGTCTATTTAGAAAATGGAGGGATTCTCTCAGCTGAGGTTATAAGGGGCTTTTAATTTGAAACAAGTGTTGAGTTTGAAATGACGGTGCGATATGTAAACTAGCAGTTAACGCAGTAACATACTTTGATTACTTTTAAAGTAACCCTTACCCAACACTGACCTTGACACATATTGATGTGCTTGGACTTTCCACATCCACATATGATGTGAAAGTACCCTAGGTGGTTGTTGACGTTCTGGGATACCATGTCAAGTTCTGCCTGTTACATGCATTGTCTTCTTTCAAGATACACTTCCGTTTTCACAGGAAATTCAATGTTTACATACTGTCTCTTTCAAAATAAATGCACTACATCTGTATAACATGGAAAATCGACATTTTTTTCCTTTCAACAACAAACACATGGTTGGGTTTAGGCAACAAAAGCACTTGGTTAGGTTTAGGAAAAAAGAATAGGGTTCACGACGCAAACACCATTCACTCGGGTAAGGGTCAGTGTTTGTTGGACCCATCCACGTCCCCTGCCACCCACCCCATTCTGATATTTGCTGCCTTAGCTTTTGTCCTTGTCCTGCTGCTTTCCCCCTGACGCCGCCAGGTGCCGTTAAACTATAAAAAGGGATGCTATAAACTATAAAGGACGCCTTTTTTGTTGGTTTCTGACGCTGGCAACTGACAACTTTGGAGTGAGACCGGGCTCTGCTCAGTGCTAAGCACTGATGATAGTCAAGGACTGAAATGTTTGCTGGTGTTTTTATCCACTTTTTTTTTGCACTTTTAACACCCTTTTTCATGCACGGATGTTCTAAATAAAGTCTTTCTTTTTTTCATTGATCTCAGCCTGTTAAACCTTTTTTGTGGCTATCCAGCACAGTTGTATTGGTGTGTGGGCATCTTTTCTGCCATCCTTTCTTTTATTTTGACACCATTATTTTTACATTGTTAACATCGAACCTACGCCCTTTTCTCTAATAGTGCAATATCTATTCTTATTTTTTTTAGATCTTTTCTTCTGGGCTTTAATGACAGGACAAGTTGAGTGTGAAGGGGGGAGAGAGAGGGGGGATGACATGTTGCAAGGCAGGCTGGAATTGCACATGGGTGCCTGCTCTACCCACTGAGCTACTGGGCACCATGAAAATTTAGATGTTTAAAGTGGTCCTGACAGTCAAGAAATAAACCGGAAATGCCAACCAAATTTAGAAGCTGATGTTGTTTACAGTTTTCCACCTGTCTTGGTTTTGCAAGTTAAAAACTTCCACATGAGAATAATGTTCATCACAAAGAACGGCAAATAACTTTATTTTTTCCCTGTGGTACTAAAGTTAAAGTTAAAAAAATGATAACTGCAGCGAGAGTTAGAAAAATCTTCTAAATGTCTAGGCCTGTAAAAATCTCATACCAAATACCATTCATTTATAATAAGGCATCTGAGAAATGGTATCATAGACTCCCTGCTCACACGCCTGAAATGATCACCAGAGCCCATAAACTAAGACAAGTAGTTCAGAGCTTGGCCTACTTTCCATCATTATTTATTTGTCCACCAGAGAGCGCTCCAGCTCTCACAATTTTCAGCCAACTTCCTCTCCTCCAGCATGTGAGCTGTGTGATCATTGGCCAGAATATCTTCTTACTTATTCTGTAAATTGATCCTTCTCGCTTTGTTTAATTGTTTTGTGACATTGCTGTAACACTAAGAAATGTGAAATTTATATCGTGTTTATTTTCATTCAGAACCTCTCTCTTGCCTTATAAATACACTAGAGTATTACAAATTACTCAGACACAAACATGCACTCAAAATCTCATAATTTATTATTCAGTCTTTAAATAACCATTAGAAAGACACCAGACACACAATAAATAAATAACTTAATAATAATGCTACCATGGAAACATATTAAGAACCAAAAGCTACTCATTTCACAACAAAATCAAGTCAATGGTCAATAAATACATTTCTGCAATGTGCATTACAGTTATACATCTGTTCATTTCCTTTACTTGTCCACTGACAACTGAGGACTGACCATATTAAGACCCATTCCAAGAAGATCATCAGAGTCCATGTTGAAATATCTCTGGTCGTTTGGTGGCTGCTCAGACACACTCTCCACTGTCAGAGTATTCCTAAGCGGTAGGAATCGAGTAAAGGGGACCGAGTGTTGATCTGGGGAATGTCTTGATGCAAGAGACACAGGAAATCTGTGGTACGAAGATAGGAAGCGGGTGTATCCGTCTGCCAGCAGCAGTTCTCTGAAGGCGCAGTCAGCATCTGAGTATTGGCCCTGAAACGGAAGACAGATGTAAACTGTCAGCGAACGACAGGAAGGAGGGAGAGCATGGGAAAATAAAGATTTTTGGGCTTACTGTACCTGGCCCCTCAAACGGCCTCCACTGTCCATGCAGAGAAACAGAGATGATGACCGTCCCTTGATGGCTATGTGGCCTGGTTTAACTGATTTCAGCTCCAGCACACCTGCAGACAGAGAAACAGAAATAGATGTGTCTTCTTTATAAGTCTCCTGTTGGTTTCCATTTATTCTCTGGGCCTTCAACGACCCACCATGGTTGTGTTTGAAAAACACACTCTGATTTATCTCCCAAATACTCACTGTAAGGTGTCTGAGCATCACTTCCTGACACTCTGCCATCCAGGTTCATCTGCAGATACATCCCTCTTCTGTGATTTTCTGCAGCATGAAGAAAGAAATTAGCATAATGAAGAATTTAAAAATACTTAAGAGCAGCATTCTCTCATAAATATTCCAAATAAATATATAAATACCTGTGTAGAGGTGTACCTCTCTGACTTGGTTATCAAAGGATAATAGAGGGTTGGAGTCGGTGAGATAGAATGATAGAGAGAAAGGCAGTGGGATGATTAAGAGAAAAGGACACAGGTATGAGAAAGAGGAGTGTGGAAACAAAAACATTTGGAAAAAGAAGATAAATAAAGAATAAATAAAAATAAATAGCCTAAAAAAAAGCCTAGAAATATACGGCTCTGTACAAGCCAGTTACTGTTCAAAAATTCTAAACAGGAGCATGTTCTGCGTCCTTATAAAGGGGTTTGGAGAAGGAGGTCCAACTTCCTGAATGTGTGAGTCAGACATTTCTACAAAATGAAACCGTGATTTAATGCTCGGAGGAAGACCTGTGTTTAAACACTATGTTTGGGCTTCTTCCTGTCATTTGCCAGTAAAGTTGGGTGTTTGGATTCATGTGAGAGTCAGGTGGATAAAACTCATCCGAGCCAACTAGCACATGGAAGGAGTATGATGGTATATTCTGTAAAGTTTCCATTGCTTACATTCTTTTAGAAAGTTATTTGGCACCATTCAAAGAACTCTGAATAATAGTTATTATGTATTGCATATGGCGGATGGAAGTTGCCAAAATCAAAAATATAAATATAAATATAAAATAAATGAATAAATATAAATAATATATGATTTGGGAAACAAATATGGAAAAAGAAATGCAAAAGGAAAATGATAAAATAATAAAAAAAAATATATATATATACATCTAAACATTAATCAATCAATTTATTTTTTCATAACTAAAAATAAATTGCAAAAATAAATACAATGACAGACTAACAAAAAATAATAAATATAATGGTAGAGGGAAAGTAAAAAACAATAGGGGAATTAATATGAAAGTAAATAGATTAATGCCTACATTTATTTTTAATATTATTTTAGAACATTTAATAACATGTATATTTATGAAGTCATTGAGATTAATTAATTAATTAATTAATTCTTAATTTTTTCCAAGGAAGAAGGAGGTTGTCAAACTCAAGAATAAATAAATAATAAATAAATGAATGCGCCAAACATAATATATCAAAAAATGGGAATTAATTTATTCAGAAAATGTGACATAAAAAATAGTTTTATTAATTTTAAAATGTATTTATTTGTTTTACTTTTTTAATTTATTTTAAAAAATAAATTATCAATTTTAAATATAGTTATTAATTTATGTTAATTTTATTTATTTATTTATTTATTATTTTCCCTTTACAATGCCCCCTCTTATATGTTTACCAATACCTGTTAATGTTTTGTATACATTGCTGTCTTAGTTTAATTTTGACATCTTCTACCCTTTACATTTGTATGTGCAGTTTATTAAAGTTGATTTTGTTGCTTAATTATACATAAGGATTAACTAGAATTAGACCTTTTCTCATCCTATCACAACAGTACTTTTTTAATTAAATACATTTTTGGGGATTTGATTTGAATAATTGAGATATGTATTAGTCAGGGTTCATGTCAAACAATGTCAAGATCCCTCCATTGCATTTACCTTTTTTATTTTATTTCAAATATTTTAGAATGAGTTTCCTCATTAAGACTTGTTATGAGTTTACACTGATAAATATCAGTAACTATGCTTTGTCATTTTTCGACAGGACAGTTCACTTTTAAATTACATCAGAGTGTTTTCCCATTCAGGCCTTAACTTAAAAAATATACAAATTTCACAACAGCCAGAAGATGTCACACAAACACATCTCTCTGCGTCATCTGCTAAATAATAAACAATTACAAGTGGAAGTGACTGGGTTTCACAGTGTTTATCTTATCTTGATATGTGTGTGTTTGACGGAGAGAATGAGGGAAACAGTGGGTGAAACTGATTTACAAGCAGAGGACAAGTGTTTATGTGACTGCAGCTGTGTGGTCACCAGAAAATCTGTATGTCAGTAAAGTCACGAGTTAAGAAATATGGTGCATTACCGAGGAACTTAACTTTCTCCTCAAGAACTACCACCTTGTGATGTTTCACTCTGATGCAAGATATCACTAAGTGTATCTTCTTTAATCTTCCAAACTGTTCAGACATCAGGGGAAGAACTGAGGTACCATTATTTTGTATGGATTGTATGTAAAAATGAAACTACATTTGTGTTTGATAATGAAGCTTGCTCGTGTTTCCGGGTGTGAAATATTTCAGGTGAAATATAAACAGAATGGCAGACCAAAACACTGATAAACATTCCTTCATGTTTATGTTTTGTTCATGTTGTGTGTACCTCATGCTAGCCCCACAGTTTAACTGAACTGACACTGAAAAAAACGATTTGATTCAGCTTGTATAACAGTTAAATCCCATATGATGAACAAATATGGGATGCAGTTTTAAAGATGGAACTCAGCCAGGAGATGGCGCTACCCTGTTTACTCTAAGGCTCCATATATGAGCACTATCTAACAGGAAGCTCCAGCGCTATCATCTTTATGTGTACATGTAGGCCTATGTCTTGTCTTATAAGACAGAATATTTTAAGGTGAATAGACTGTTGGGCCTCCTACGTATTTATATTAAGGATGTAAATGAGAATGGGTATGGGTAAGTTTGAATATAAAAACAGTCCCCATTAAAATCAGTGTAGGTTGCAAAATATCAGCTGAACAAATTTCTAAACAACAAATACAAAAAATAAAAATCCCTAATTCTGTTTAGTGTACAAACGCCCGCACTATTTATATCATTTGCAATTTCTAAGAAGCACTGGGGTTCCCTCTTCCTGTTTTGGCTCATCTCCACTCCTGTGGTGATTGGTTTACCCTTAACTGAGCAAAAACATGCTGTATACTATGTTGGGGCTGCAGTATACTGTATGTTAGGGTGTCCATTTCTTTGCCATAATGCAGCCAAAAGATAATAAATGGCTGTCACTATAAGGAAACAAAGACCATGTCCTTTGTATGTACATTTTAAATTTTTACATTAAGGCGTAAATTCTGTATGAATGAAAAAAAAGTAATCCTAAACTGAAACCTCATAGAGGCATAGTATTCTTAATGTTTCCCCCTTGATGACCTTTTCCTACCTTGTTGTGCTCCTGACTTCTCTGTCTAACTGTAATGTGCCCAAGCTGAAGTTCAAAGTTTAAAGGAATGCTTCACCCCCAAATAACCATTTGAATGCCAATTACACACCCCATCCAACCATCCATTTTCATCCGCTTATCCGGGGCCAGGTCGAAGGGGCAACAGGCCAAGCAAAGCACCCCAGACATCCCTCTCCCTAGCAACACTTTCCAGCTCCTCCTGGGGGACCCCAAGGTGTTCCCAGGCCAGATGAGATATGTAATCCCTCCAGTTTGTTCTGGGTCTGCCTCTGGGCATCATACCAGTGGGACGTGCCTGAATACCTCTAACAGGAGACGCCCAGGAGGCATCCTGATCAGATACCTGAACCACCTCAGCTGACCCCTTTCGACGCGAAGGAGCAGCGGCTCTACTCCTGGCTGAGTCCAGCCACCCCAAGGAGGAAACTCATTTCTGCTGCTTGTATCCTCGATCTCATTCTTTGGTTACTACCCAGAGCTTAGAATTAAGACTTTCCTTTTAATAAAGCTTATAGTTAGGGCTGGCTCAGGCTTGCCTCGTGCCAGCCCCTAGTTAGGCTGACTTAGGCCGAGTCTGCCGGGGGACCTCCTACGTATAATACACCGAGCATCTTCTCTCCTTCTCTCTCTCTCTCTCTCTCCCCCACCCCAAAAACAAAAAAACATTGTAAAAAGGGCCCTTGATGGCCACTGTTATTACCATAAACACCTTTATACTTACCATATAAACACTATACAGTGCAATCCACTGCCCCGTACCGTATGACAGCTGGATACTGTCAGCCAGCTACCTGTAGCTGTCACATATACAAGTGTAGCCAGAAGCACAATCCTCAGGGCCTCAACGGCCTTTTTTGCTTGGGGTCCCCCAGAATCTAGGATCACCACTATGAGGAATCTAAAAACACTTACCAAAAATGCATGTGTTTGGGACTTACTGAGCATATGACCGGATAAACGAGACTAAGATTATACTCCAAGAGTTGTTAGACGCTGTTTTTTTCTCTGTTTTGGAATCCTTTGTTGGGGGTGGGGGTGGGGAGTTGCAAATAACTCCTTCAGCAGCATTTTACAGGTATGTTTTTTAATTACAGCTTTTACAATCATTATCATTATTATCATATTATATTCAATTATCATCACTACTCTCCAATAATATGAATTTAAATCATAACACAATTTTTTTTTCTCAAAATGTACACATACAAGTAGCATATCTTAAATGTCCATAATTTAAAACATATTTCCTTTTTCAACCTAAAATGAAATTACAGTCAGTCTTAAAACTAAGTATGAAATGAACGTACAGTTTAATACACACACATACGTACTGTACATACATACATACAATAGCAGTTATCATAAAAAATGATAAAAATAAAATACACACATTTTACAAAGTCCTGACCCAAGCTTCCACATCATTAGATGATTGATATCATGACGTTCACTCTAAAATGGTTGATTTTGGCATGCATATTAACACAAATGCTTAACTCTTCTTTTTTTTAAAAAAATCCCCCACTTTGAACAGGATTTTTGTCGTAAAGCACTTTGCTAATTGTCTCATTGTCCGTCCTATTCACATTTGTGCATCTCATGTCTGTTATGGCTTAAGAACATACATTTAATTCCCCCCTGCGTACACCCATATTCTCCCTTTCAACCTACCTCTCCCCAAACTCTACTGTGTTGTGATGTTAACTAGCCAGAGTATGTTCTACTATCAGTCTAAATCAAAGTAAGATCACCTGAAAGGATGTGTGACGGGGTTCTCTTTCTCGTGATCCGAACAAGGAATGCAGTTTCCAATTTTTAAAAACTATAAATTCATTGTGTCAATATTTGCCATCTCACACTCAAAAAACAGAGGATGTATTCACAATAGGCGATGGTCACTTTCTACAGGCCACTTTCTACAGAATCAAACAGCATCATGCCACAACTATGGATCAAGATGGGGTGAGAGATAGAGAGAGCGAGAGAGTGAGAGATAGAAAGAGAGATAGAGAGAGTAACAGATGGATAAACAGACATTCACTCCTTGTTTTTTTTTTTCATCTTTTCAGAAAGCATTCACTCAGTGTCTTTGATTCTTCGAGATGTCTCGCTCGAAAGTTGTTGGTCATCTTCTAGTGTCCATTTTTGATTTTGATCCTTAGGTTTTTTTTCCTCAAAAATGTGTTTTTTTTATTCCCTTGGGTTAGGATGGAGGTGGGGCTCTACAAAATGAAAAAAAGAAAAGACAAAAACTGTGAGAGCTCCTGCTGAGATGAGATCTTTGATTTGGTGTTCACACAAGCTATTTTTAGCTGTAAAAAACAATCGTGAGCGAGGATGCTTTTTCTCACCTGGTGTGCTTATCTTTTAGCAGGAATATGTTCTCACGGACCCCGACTCTCCTCTCGGACCTACTGACAGAGAAGGGGAAGTAATCAGTAAACAAAACTCATTCTGAAGCTATGAGAAAAACTACGGAAGAGCACCAGGGCCAA